CTGCAGGAGGATGACCCCGCATCGCTGCACGCCATAGTGCTCTTTCTGCTGCTCGACGGCCATGCCGACGAGTCCACCTACTCTCGCATGATCGAGGAGGCATGCTTTCCCCGCCTCCTCGAGCTGATCAACGGACGCAAGGACCAGGACTTGAGGCTTCATCGCCTGCTGCTTGAGCTGATGTATGAGATGTCCCGAATCGAGCGCTTGCGCACCGCCGACTTGCTGCAGGTCGACGACGGCTTCATCGCCTACCTCTTCCAGATAATCGAGGAGCTCTCCAATGACGTTCACGACCCGTATCACTATCCCATTATCCGCGTGCTGGTATGCTTCCTCTCGGATCTGCTCGTCCTCGTACATCACCCTCGCAGCTAACCTCGTAATAGTTGGTACTGAACGAACAATACATGCTCGCTTCCACCGACGTTGCCGCCGATCCTACGTCCCCAAACGCCCCTCTTACGAATAGGGTCATCAAGTGTCTTAGTCTACACGGCGACTCGTTCCGCACATTCGGAGAGAACATAATTTTGCTGTTGAATCGCGAAACCGAAACGTCTCTACAACTCCTGATCCTCAAACTCCTATATCTTTTATTTACAACCAAAGCCACATACGAATACTTTTATACAAACGACCTCAAGGTTCTCCTCGACGTTATCATTAGGAACCTGATGGACTTGCCGGACGAGAAGATATCGTTGCGTCACACGTACCTGCGCGTCTTATACCCGCTGTTGGCGCACACGCAGTTGAGTCACCCGCCGCACTACAAACGCGGCGAGATCCTCAAGGTCTTGAGGATCCTAGGCGGCTTTGGCAACTCCCACTTTGCGCCCGCCGACGAGACTACAGTGAGGTTGGTTGATCGTGTCTCAAAAGTGAGATGGTTGGCCGACCAAGAGCCTTCTGGCGAGGCAGAGGTGGCTCGGAAGTTCCTGGGCATCAGTCTTTCTCGCTCGCAGACTGCAAGCAGCGTTAGTGTAGTTGACGTCGCGGCAGTCATGGAAAAGCCCGGCGTCATCACCCCGAGTCGGAAAGCCGAGGCAGACGCGGAGGCCAAGCAAGGAGAAGCAAAGGCTGGAACAGGGGCGATGCGGACGAAGAAGCCGTTGCCCGAAGTACCCAAACATCGACATGGTGTTCCTGTCGGACCGACGTCGACATTGCATTTCAATGGCCATAAGAAGATACCACCCAAAGCGCCACCGCCACGGCGGAGGACGAAACTCAAACCTGTCGAACCTGTAGCCGATGAATCTCCTACGCCCGAAGTCTGAGAAGAATATGCGCGCTGGTCGGGTCTGGTCTTGATGGGCGGACAGAATGATGACACGAAACGGGACAGGCGTTTGCTTGGTTTATCAACTTGAGCAGGAGTTAGACCTGGGAACATGGAGAGGCATAGCAATCACGACCTTCGGAATAGGAGTTGAGCGTTCGAATCATGGTCATAGCATAGCAGAGGCGTTTGGGTTCCGAGGGGTGACTACTTTCTGGCCCAAGGACGGCGTGTCGTCCTGTTGGGTTTATCCTAACAGCTTGTCAAATTTACAAATTTTGGCTGGACGAGGCGATTGCGCGTTTCTCCAAGTGACTTGACCAAGTGACTTGGTTTCAGGCTAACATGTCGTGGCAAATCTCCGCTCGTGGTTGTCGACAGAAGGGTGATTGGCAGAAGCTCGAGACGAGCAGAGGGCAGATTTAAGTTTACTTTTACTCTGGTCCGATCGAGATGAGACGAACGATATCAGGCTCCGTTCTTCAAACTCACAAGGCACAGACAGCACGACTCGATAGGTTTGTGGAGACGGGGTACGCAACCGAAGCAAGGGGGAAGGCAGTTGGGTATATACAATGGCTATTCGATTCTCCAAGAAGGATTCTCCTAGCTAGATGTATCACCTAACGAGTTTTTAAGATGAATCAGCAGCAGAACCACGGCTCACCCAATCACGCAATGTTCCCATGGAAATTACACATGCATTCTCGCTCAGCAGCAGCAGCAGAAATTGGTGCAGAAGGAGACAATGGTAAAGGCGTGCGCTCTCAAGTTATCTCTGTTTTTCTGCCACGAGCTTACCGGGACTCAAGAGAATCAAGATCTAGATCAAATGCGGCAAGTGGCAGCTGCAGCGTTGTGCATGTTCTGCAACAGCAACAACAGGCCAGCTTTTCTAGTTTTTTCCCCCCCCCGTGATACTAAAAGGCTTGAACAAGCTGCAGCTGCATAATCCATATCGAGTTCGCGCATGTCCCAATGCGGAATGGTTGAGGTCTAGATTGGGGAGGCCACCGGGCGAGCTTTGCGGGCGTGCGGAAGGCAGGCTTGAGGGGCATGTGATACATATTGGCTTTCCGATACTGGCATGCCGTAAAAGATATCTACTTCGTGAGCGGGATGCAACTGGATGACTACTTGTAGAACATCTATCCGACATGCTGATGCTCAATAATGGGTAAAATGGGTCTCAGGGTATGCCAAGGCTCGGGGTGTGCAGTATCCCACACAACTCAGCTCAGCACAGCTAACACTATCGTGATTGCTCTCGCCGTTGAATTCAAGAGCCAGCTTGATCTGATGAGGACTATCCATTCCGTGTATCTTGAATGACACCCATCTGCAAGTTTAACAGGAGGGGCGCTTTCAGAAGCAAAGGCAGTGCTCGGGAACTCCGAGTGATCTCAAGGGCGAACCTAATTTAACTGAAAGAAAAGAGGAAGACAGAAAAAGAAAGCACCATGGCAATCTCGTGGACGTACCGCTTGGCCCGGAGGAGGGATTGATGACGATCATAACTCCTTAGAGCTCGGCTTAGCTTGTGGTTAGTACGAAGGTGGTCGGATTGTAGCTTCAGGTTCAGCTGGACATGGCTGGGTTGGACGGTATGTAATAGTCCTGAGGTTGTATCTCATTATGGTTGGTAACGCTCGAGCCGGTCGGGTAGCACGGATATTGAAGTTCTCGGTGCTGCTGCAGACGTTAACGACTTAGGTACAGCGTAAAAGAAATTGATGAGGTGACGGTTTGACTAAGAACGGATTCGTGGCCATCCGTTAACTACAGGTAAGGGGCCAGGGATTTAGCGCAAGCTACCTTAGGGTCACGAGGGAAATGGTAGGATGCAAATGTCAAGTATCGAAGTGCTTGGTGGTGATGTTGCAGCGGATGTAACCATTGGCGGAGAGGCGCATACGTCATCGGTTGGGCTGATGCGCCCTGTGAAGTTTCTTGGCTTCTTGTCTGCGCCATCACAATGGCCCTCAAGGCCATAAGCCCATGACACCGTTTAATGGAGGACATGGTCAAGGACCAGACGAAGTACAATGTTATCAAGATTGCTTACGACAGGGCAAGGTGGCGCAGCCTCGCTCAAGAGGAATGGTGTGCGGGGGATGAGCAAGATGGGGCAAAGACTGATGATACCCCGAGTGAATGTAAGAAGCCAATGGAGGCAAGGCGGTGAGTTTGAGTGAAGGCAGTAGTTGTGCCGTGCATGACATCGATGATGACCTTGCTCATTCCTGGCATGGCACACATCGTCGCCCTCATTCCGTTCAGATACACAGCACAGCTTGTGCCAGACTCGAGAGTCGTCTGCGAGAAGGGTTAAGAACAACAAGAACGACGAATGCCACGTCGTCTGCAGCCATCTGTTTACGCATTAGTCTTGACTGACAACTTAAACGTGGATAAGATGATGCGTATTCATTTCACGGGTTCTCCTACAATGTATGGGACAAAGGGGATCAAGGAGATGAAGAGAAAGAGATACATGTAGTGTACGTACTGTGTAGAAAGAGAGAAGGAAAGCAGATACGTACCCCTCAGTAACTGCCCAAAAGGCAAGGTTTAGGCGATGACAATCCCCCAAAGCAGACGCAATTCAGGGTCCAGTTACTGCTCGGCATGGGCCTTTTTGAGGCACCATTGCATCAGAAGATGGGAGCACCCTGCAAAACGCTGCAAATCCTCCCAGTCACTTTCAGGGAAACACGGACGCTGGGAAGCGCACATCAGCGCAAATCTTGGCCAGCACCAGACAGGCAAGAGACAGGACGATGATTCGTCTCATCCTTGACACGGGAAGATTGTGCTTGGGCCTGCTTGTCAGGCATCCACGAACCGTTGCGACGGGAAGCAGGTATCGTAGAGATGCAAGCCAGGGTCTTGATTGCCTTCCCATCCCATCCCGTCCGTCTGCCTGTGGGAAACAAGAGCAAGACAGAGAGTTTGATGTCGGGCGCATGTACTAGGTATGTAAACGTGAGATGAAGTGGGTTTTTGGCGCTGGGTGACATGGGATGTCGTCGTGGGAAATTTGGAAAACGAACCCCCTGTTTCCATCCGTGGAGTGCCTCAGGGGAGGTACTTACAGAGGCCCAGCGGGGCGGGAGCCCAAGCCTGCGATGCCCCGGGTCGATTACCTTTCTGCCTCCCTACCATGTACATAGTACAAACAAACCTCTACCGCCGCTGTTTTCGTCCTTTTCCTGTCCCGTCATCTTGACCAACGCCAACAATCCCCGAATCTCATATACCGCATTATCGTGACACCTGTGCGCTTGCTCACGCACCATCCGACCTGGCCGAAGTGCTTTCCGAATTACAGCTGCCTCCCGTCATTGCCTCCCCCTTAGCTCAAGGTAGATTGGGCAACCAACGAACCAACCCCCGAGACACATCACCATTCCACTGAGCCGAATCGGGAGCCACTACTACGACTCGACCGTCGCTGATGACGACATTGGTCTGAGCCCAAGAGAGCTCTTCCGCTTGCCATTGCGTCAAACCGACGGCGCGCTGAATGCACTAGACCACCTCAACCCATTGATTGTCGCCCACTTTCCCCCTTCCTTGTTGCGCTAAAGCCGTCTAAAAAAGTCACCATCGATCCCCAAGCTTGCAGTTAATCCCCGCTGTTGCGCTAATCTGAGTCGTCCCTTTTCCAACACCGGCACCCGAGGTGTCTTGGTGTCTTTGAGACGCCCACACGATGGCCGCTAGATCCCCGCTCGCGTCTTCATCTCCCACGCCTAGGTCCAACCACGCGCCGCACCTCGCCGACTCCGATTCGTACAGGGAAAGAGAGAGGGAACGGGACAGAGAAAGAGACGTGGAACGGACAGCTGGCTACGGCGCCGCCGCCGCCATGAACTCAAATCGCACTTCGTCCTATTTCCCTCAACAACCCGCCCAGCCCTCCTCCTCTTACACCTCGAATGCCGCCGTAGCTTCCTACTCTACTCCTCCTCGACAGACTGCTCCTCTGCGATACGACGAGGACCGAGAGACGCAGTACAACACTCTTGCCAACTCCCACAACGTACACCAGGCGCAACACTTGCCTCCAGAAGGCGACGTCGCATATTACGACAACCCGGACGCCAACAACAGCACCAACCTGGCAGTGCCCTCCGCTACTGCTCGCGGCAAGTTTACAGAAGAATGGGATGCGAGCCAAAGAGGGAGTAGCATAATTGAAGGTCATTCGTCCAACATGCCGCGATCCAACTCGTTCGTCTCCAACAATGGGGAGGATCACTTGAGCCTTCCCTCGCGCCACAACACCCTCAAGAAGAAGAACTCGCTGCGCAGGAACGGCAGCCTAAAGCGCAGCAGCAGTCGGAGAAGTATGAAGGCCGGCAGCGTACGCAGCTTGGCTCTGCAGTCCTCCAACGACCCCGACGAAATACATAGCGCATTCCACTGTCCAGTTCCGACATCTGGGAATCCAACCGAAGCTTTGGCCGCTAGATTTCAATGTAGGTCTCTGCGCAACCCCGTCTCCTGAAGCCCCTGACCCGTTTGCTGCAGCGTGGCGCAAGATCCTCAAAGACCTTATCGCATACTACCGTGAAATTCAATCATATTACGAGCACAAGTCCAAATCGCTTCTGAAGCTTGCCAACGTCGCCAACAATATTGCCAGCCCCCCTGGTTTTCTCGATTCTGGTGGCATCGATGATGCGTTGCAAATACTACGTAGCTACCACAAAGGCGCCATTCTCGAATCGAACAAGGCAAAGGACATTGAAGAGGATGTTATCCTAGCTCTCACAGGCCTGAGAAACGACCTTCATCAGAAGATCAAAGAAATCAAGAACTTGTCGGGCGACTTCAAAAACTCGGTGGACAAGGAGATGGATAGCACCAAGCGCGCCGTCAAGGCATTGCAAGACACCTTGGGCCAGACTGATCTGGACCCCTCGTTGACGACTGGAAAGCAAGATCCGTACCTCCTGCGTCTCGCCGTCGACAGGCAAGTTGAGCGCCAGATTGACGAGGAGAACTATCTACACCAGGCGTACTTGAACCTGGAGAACTCTGGCCGCGAACTCGAGGCCATTGTAGTGGGCGAGGTCCAAAAGGCTTACAATGCTTACGCCGGCATTATCAAGCGCGAGTCCGACGCCGCTTACAACGCCATCGAGGAGCTCCGTGTCGGCCCCATCTCAATGCCCAAAGATCACGAGTGGGCGCACTTCGTCCAGAAAGATGACCAATTCGTGGACCCCGATATCCCAATTCGGTCCGCCGAACACATTCACTACCCTGGTCGAGAGCACGTTGCATGCCAGGAGATTCGTGCGGGGCTCCTTGAACGCAAGAGCAAGTACCTCAAGAGCTACACAGCTGGCTGGTGAGCTAACCCATATTCCTTTGACTGAGACACTCTCAAAACACAACATACTAACTGCACTCTCGAACACAGGTATGTACTTTCTTCGACTCATCTCCATGAATTTAAATCGGCGGACAAGGGCCAAGCCCCCGTCATGTCACTGTACCTTCCAGAGCAGAAACTAGGTTCGCACTCTAGCGAGGGAGGGTCGTCCAACAAATTTATCCTCAAGGGCCGCCAAACTGGATCCATGCATCGTGGCCACACCTGGGTCTTCCGGGCCGAGAGCCATGATACAATGATGGCCTGGTACGAAGACATCAAGGTCCTCACTGAGAGGTCACCACAAGAGAGGAGTGAGTTCGTCCGTGGACACGTACGGAGTTTGAGCCAGTCTTCGCAACGATCCACAAGCAGCGACGGCGTACTCGAAGATGACGACGACGAGCCATTCTCAGCGGACGCAGCGGTTGCAGCTAGCACGAGTTCGAGACAAGACGTCCGCCGTCCCGAAGCAGGTGGGCGGTTCCCATCTGACATCCAGGTCAACGCGCAGCGAGGCTTACAGGCACCTCTTTCGCCTTCTAGTGTGAGCTCCGGATTCGACAACTCTGATCGCGACGCAGTCATGCAATCGTCTACCATGCCGGACAGTATTCTGGGAGTGTATCACGGTTCGAATGAGCATCCGAATGGGTACGGCGGCACGGACCGGACACCCATGGAAGAGATCCCGTCTCATGCTGCGGTGGTGACCCAGCAAGCTCGAGAGGACGGAGTGAACCCATACACGCGCGAGTCACTTCGCCGATCACAATCTTTGACTCGTAGGCAGCAGGCAGTCTATGTACCCGCTGCCGGCATGCAAAGAGCTCATAGCCAACATGCGACACCAGGCAGATATGAGGATGAGTCCAGACCGGTATCTACTGCCGATTATGACCGTGTTCTCGAGACACCAGGCGGTAACGGCCAGTATGGTCAATGGATGAATAGCAATGGGAAGTCCTCGCCGGGCATTCCGAACAATCATTTTGCACAGCAAGAAATAGGTGAATACTCTGCTTCAGGTGGCCGAGGCCTGGGCGAAGTCGATATAATACCCGCCATCGGAACGGGTAATGGGCATGCTCCTAGCAACGAACACCCCCAGCAGGATGGCTCGTCTGTCGCTGCTGCTGCATCCTCTATTCCCAGGAACCAGGATGCGCCTCGTCAAAAACAGACAGCATCTTCCGTCCGGCCTACCTCTGGCACTGTCAGAAACGATAGCGTTCCAACAATCTCTAATCTGCACATTCCTGGAGAATACCCTAAGGGAAACGCGGCAGCAGTCGAATCAAGACGATGATTGTATGCAGGGGGAGGTAGAAGTGGACGGCTTGGAATTAAAAGAGGGTTGGGTACACATTGGTATAGGGAATTGGGACGGGAGACCTTGGAGGGAACTTTCGCTGTCTCATGACATATTTGGCATCCTGATATTTCCTTTGCACCTTTCATTTTTTACCTACCTCTGATTGACAAAGGGACAAGCCAAGAGGAGCAAGGCGCTGCGCGAAGAGACGATGACGGCAGCCCCCTTTTCCCCCTTTCTTTTTTCAAGTTCTGTTAGTAGCTCATCCGTGTTCACATATCTGTCATCAATTAAGTGGTATTATTCGCAGGCGCTTCAGAACCACTAAGTCCTCTCTTTCCATAACGCCACAAATACTCCAGTCAAACACGCCCTTTTGTACCCCTGATGAACAAAGCTTGAACCATGACCGCCGTTGCTAATAGTGCCCCTAGGCCCCGAGACCTATGCCAAAGTATTGCGCTCCCCTAAGCCCAGACAAGACGTTCGAATCACCTTGCTTCACCTGGACCTCGACTGTCCTTGCCAGCCCCATAGAAAGCGACATGGCACAATTCGATACCGCTAGGACCAAGCTGCTTGCGGTCTCATGATAATTCTCTGGTAGATTCTCCTGCAATAAAATCGTCGCAAGGGGACCCGTCATGACCATGCCCAGAGGCGCGAGCAGACTGCTCACAAACGTGTTGGCCCAATATGTCTGCTCAGGCGGTGTCGTAGCCATTAAGATGGACGCCAGCGGAAAGGACAAAATGGACACAAGGAACGCCCAGTACACCTCAGCTCCGGGCACGAGATATGCGAGCAGCAGTGCCACAGCGAGGGACTCGACGGCGACGGGGACGAAGCCCGCACTGGTCAGGAGCGGGGTCCAATCTCGTAGAAGCTCCGAGAGCTGAAAGGTGTAGAATGCCCAAATGATGAAACAACCCCAAGCCGCTGCTGTGCAGCCCAGTATCAGATTGGTTGACGATCCCATGGCGCTCAGGGGAAGCAACGGATTCACGGCTACTGTCTCGTTGTAGACGAATGCGGCAAGAAACAAGGCGCCTATGATGAGGAGGAAGTAGGTGTATGGGGTATGCCAATCCACAGCCGGAGCCTGGTTACATGCAAAGCTAAATAGTATGAGACCACTGCCACCGAGGAGTGTGCCAGAAACATCGAGTTGTACCCATATACTGTTGGCGGAGTCTGTCTCTCGTGGAGCCTGGTACGGGAGCACAAGAACGCTCAGTCCTGCGGCCGAGACGCAGACGGCAGCGAGGACAAAGAAGGACCACTCCCATACTGTGTAGAAGGCGAACAACGACGACATGACCGCGCCAATTACAAAGCCTACCGGCGCGGTGGCACTGAAGAATGAGAACGCTGTGTCCTTCTTCTGGCCTGGTGCCAGTGTTCTCTCAAGGATAGAGAAGCCGTTGGGGACACAGAGTGCTGGGCCTATGCCCTGCATGGCGCGGCAGATGCAGAAGTAAATGGTTCCATTGTTCCCGCCCCCCTGCACGTTGAGAGAGAAGCCAGCAAGTAAACTCCACAATGCGAACCAGAGACAGCCGAGAACGATGATGGGTTTGCGACCAAATGTTTCTCCCAAACGTGCCAAGGGCAGAACAAAGACGCCAACGGTGACAGCGTAAGCTGCGGTAAACCACGAGTGCTGGCCGATCGCCACATCTGTGAACGACTTTGATATGTCCAGGGCTGGGGCCATGGCCTGGGATAGGCCGGCAAACGTGAGAGCCTGATAGAGAGCGACGACCGCCACGAGGGAGGTCTCCTGAATAGATGACAGCTGTGGGTCATGTGCCTTTTCAAGGAGGGGCTGTGACTGGTGAAGCTGGCTTTGCCGAGTCCATAACGGACGCTCTTCGTTATCATTGTATTGTCTTGGATTCCTGCGGATTATCTTTGACGATGCTGCTTCTGTGGATTGTTTCACCCGCTGGGTCAAGACGATCCTCCGAGCAGCTTCGAATAAGTCGGGATATTCTGAGGGATGCTCGAGTGCTTCAGGGGCCAAGCCTCTTTGTGAAACGATGCCGGTTATTTGGTTCCTCGGAGAGGTCGGAGGCCCTAGTCCTTGGATTTGAATCACTGGATTATCGTACAGTTCCGAGGCGTTTGAGACTGGAACCCGCGCAACAGACGGGGTTCCTGGTGCGAGGGCCATCAGGATTATAGGCGTGGCCAGATCGTGAGAAGGCGTAGGTGATACAGGTGACACGGGGGGTTGTGACGCTCGACAGGTATCAAAGGTCGAAGGAGCCGTACTTGGTCTGGAGAAATGGGGATTCGTTTGGTCTACGCCGTCGTAGTTGTCATCGAGGATGGGAGAGACAACACTGGGAGCCGAAGCTCGCCAGCCCGAGTCCACAGGGGCACTAGACCCGTACATTCTATGGTCGCTTGCATGTTGTTCTCGAAACTGTTGTCTAAAAGATTCCGTCACTGCTATCATGACGTCTGCGACCCTTTGCATGGCCTCGTTGGCGCTTCGTGTTTCCCATACTGTCGTCGGAGTGTGAATGGAGCCCAACGTAGCCGGGCTGTTAGTGTCGTCCATTGTGGTGATTAGAAGCGATCAAGGTAGAAAAGGGTGGTTAAGTATCATCAAGAAGGCATCATACGGAAGGCAGTGGCATCGTTAGAAGAGAAGGAATGGGGAAACCCCTGTATTGGGGCCGCGAATTTACAATATGACAGGAAGCATCGGTAAAACGGAGACGAGGGAGAAGCCGAATACGTAGACGGAGCACTGGACAAGCCACCGGCGCTGAGAGGATGTTGACAGTTGAACCTAGCCAAGGGTATATTTCTTTAAGGCAGGGGGTCTGCAAAGCAGACTCGGTCTAGGAAGCAAACAAGGAAAGGTTCAGACCACCAATGCATGTCGAGAAAATAACTACCCGGCCACAACCAACGACCCCTCGACGAATGAGTGCCCATTTCAAGGCTCGAGTCACTCGCCCGGATGGATGCCGATGATGGCTTGCGAGGGGCGCTGGCGCAGGCAGCTTTCGTATGTTCTCAAAAGCCATGGGGCTTGGGCCATTCCTATGACACCGCGCCACCAAGGGTTAAGCACTCCATCTGTTGCGTTCACTGTAACGCGTTGTGCTGTTCAAGGTCCGCACTCTGGCAGCATCAAACTGTAGTGTTGAGACTAGTGAGGCTAAGACAATCATGAAGAACATACAGTCGAGGCAGGCTCGATGCCCAGTGTCGGGGATTGACGTTTGGCTGGGGGTTCAGTGCCTCGAAGGGTTAACGCTCGATGGGCAGAGCCCTCGCAACTCGCACAATGGCGATCCATCGTCAGTTGTTGGTCAACAACCATGTTTGAAGGAAGGCTTAGCATGGCGGCAGACCCCAAAATGTTTCTCACGACCCACTCAGACTAGACTGCGGTATTCGTCGATACTTTGATGGTGCTTGTGAACGTACTGCGCCAGCGTCAGGCGATCAAACAGTGTGAGAGTTGGAACCCTGGCGGTGGGCGCGAGGCTGAAGCGAGAGGATGGAAGGGAACAGCGCCAACGGTGCAGGTGGTAAATCATGCCCCACTGAGCAATAAACCGCGCCACCAACGAAAGATCCTTCGCGTGCCCCAACCCGTTCAAGACATGCCCGCAACTGAACGTCCAGGTGGAAGCTCTAGCTTGTTATAATCCTCAGCACAGCGATATCCAGGATCAATAGGCTGTGGTAGATATAGACTGAGATTAGACCCGTACTCGTGTCATGTCAACTCTGACATCATGGCGATACTGGGCCTGAGGTCGGTTCAGAGTTGCAAGAGACGATAATGGCCCGCAAGGGATGTGGTGGGAGCGGAGAGATAGAAGGAAAGGAACAAGCTGCGAGGCCCAAGCCTTGTGGAGAGCCCGGAAATGGACTTGCGTTTCCCCAGAAAGTAGGGAATGGGTCCGTCTTCGTTCCTCGAGACTCGCCAGTAACGCAAGGCACATTGTGATATTTTTGGAAACAGGCACCCATCGCAGGTCAACCAAGCGCCCAGGGGGCGTCTTTACCTCTTCCGTCGCGTAACTCAGCCTTGATTTACATCCTCCCACTCTCAGTACCGACTTCCTAGTAGAGGCCTCAACTCAGCCACGCAAAATTGTATTTTCGTCTGAACACGCGGGAACCACCAGAAGGAATTGAACTCTATACGAATCAAGTCGAAGGCGCCGACAACCAACTGCGTCTGCTGTTAAGGGCACCGAGACTGACAAACCTCACTCTTAGTTTTGACTTCATGTTCTCCTATTCAACTGCAACGCAAGTTCATTCAATGTCGCTGACTTGACCACTGCACCGCGTTGTGCCATCAACCGGCTGTGAGCTGCAAAACCGTCAAATTAATCTTCGATCCCACCTCAACGCCTCCCGCACAACGAATGATGTCACAGCCACTGCGCATGCTGAAAGCTCGCGATCAATACTTTTCTCTATTTTTTGGGTGACCACAGTGGATGATGTACATGCAGCCTCGAGCCCCTACCACCGGGGCCGATGTGAAAGCAAAGCAAACCAGAACGCCAGAGTCGTAGTCCAACAGAAGAAACCCTCACCTCCTCTGAGCTGATGACCAAAGCCATAGCCTACCGGCCTCCTCTGCTGAAGCCGCCCCGACCCCTGCCACCGCTGAAGCCACCGCCTCCTCTCGGCGCACCGCCACGACCGCCGAAACCACCACCGCCGCCACGACCACCGAAGCCACCGCCTCCGCGGCCGCCGAAACCGCTGCCGCCGCGGCCACCCCTCGGGGCACCTCCGCGACCGCCAAAGCCTCCGCGACCACCGCGGCCACCTCTTGCCGGGCCTCCGCGGCCTGCTCGCTTGACCTTCGGCGCACCTGGGGGGGGTTTCGGCTTAGGAAGGAACTTCTCCAGCGGAAGGAGTTTCTCGGATCCGATGTAGAACTTGTCACCCTCCTTGAAGGACGTAGCCTGGATACCCTCCGAGGGCTTGATGGTGAAGTAAACCTGGTTGATGGGTCCGAGAACTTCGTCGACCTTACCAACGGCGGTCTGTAGTACGGTTAGATGAGTCTGTTCGGATCGACAACGGGGATTCATTCGGAAGACGGTCGCACCTTGTTCTCGAGGAAGATCTGGGCGTTGAAGTGAGGGACCTTGGGGTTGATGCTCTCGCAGACCATCTCGCCTTCGCAAGCGTGCATGAACTTGCCCATCTCTGTAAATTAATAAAAAAAAATGTCGTTAGAATTGTTTCTATGAGAATGCGTCGCGAGGCGTAAGCTGAACATACCAAGAATCGTCGCGGGAGGGCCCATGTCCCTTTGCTGGAAGCCACCACGGCCTACACGACTGGATTAGCATTGCGTTGCAGAGCGCACATCATCGTCCCAGAACAATGATGGATGTCGCGACAGAAGCAAAATTAATTGCAACATACCTCCAAAACCGCCGCCACCGCGACCACCAAAACCACCACCGCCGCGACCACGCGGAGCTCCTCGTCCAAATGACATGTTGATGGGTGGATTGGCTGTTGTCGTTTGGAGCTGCTCCTTTTTGCTGGTGCTGGATTGCTGCTATTGGAAAAACGAAGCCAACCGCCAGTCGACAGAAAATTTCCAGCGACCCAAATTGTGGTGCAGGCCAATCGAGCTACGCCATTGGTCGCATGTGACGGCCCGGAAGATAGTCACCTCCGGATGACCCCGCCAAAAATTCCAACAGCCACCCCACTCCCTCAGCGCGGCCTCTAGATACGTATCTTCGTAGTTGGTAGAGAGGGGCTTGCAGGTGGTGCGGCGGGATACACCGTGAGAGTCACCCGAACCCTTGCTTGACTCACCGTAGCTTTTGGCGGGGTCAACTTTTGCTGTATTTTGCCCAAAATTATTGTCTAGAGGCCCAACATCGTCTCTCTGCCGAATCTCATCCCTACCCACGACCCATCGCGACCTCTCAATTGGACGACATCATGGACTCAGCGAAGCAAGCTGTCGAGTCCGTCACCGAGGGTGTCAAGAAGGTCGCCCTCGGCGGCGCGAACAAAGACAAGGCCCCCAAGAAGGAGAAGAAGGCCAAGGATGCTGGCGATGCCTCAGCCGGTCCCCTCGAGCTCAATCCCCCTCCCGATTTTTTGCAGAAAAGAATCGACCTTTTCGACAAGTTGAAGAAGGAGTACGATGACGAGATTGCCAAGAGGCCGCGCGAGCCCATCACAATCACCATGCCCGACGGCTCTGTCCGTCAGGGCACGAGCTACGAGACCACACCCGGAGAGATCGCCAAGAGTATCTCCAACAGCCTGTACAAGCGAACCGTCGTTGCGCGACTCGATGGGGATCAGAACCAGTTGTGGGACTTGGACAGACCGTTGGAGAAGAGCTGCAAGTTGGAGCTGCTGAACTTCGATGACGAACAGGGCAAACAGGTCTTCTGGCACAGTTCGGCGCATATTCTTGGCGAGGCTTGCGAGAGGAGGTTTGGATGCTCTCTCTGTATCGGCCCGCCAGTCGATAACGGGTTCTACTACGAAATGGCTCTCCCTGGAGGCGCTGCTGTTCAGGCGAGCGACTGGAAGCCGCTCGAGTCCATCGTTGGATCCATTGTGAAGGAGAAGCAGAAGTTCGAGCGTCTTGAACTGACCAAGGAGCAGCTCCTCGAAATGTTCAGCTACAACAAGTACAAGCAGCACATCATCAACGACAAGATCCCCGATGGCACCAAGACCACAGTTTACCGCAACGGTCCCTTGATCGATCTCTGTCGTGGACCCCATGTCCCCAGCACTGACCGTATCGAGGCCTTCAGCATCATGAAGAACAGTGCCTCCTACTTCCTCGGTTCCCAAGAGAACGACTCTCTTCAGCGCGTTTATGGTGTCAGTTTCCCCAGCAAGAAGGAACTCGCTGCGCATAAGAAGTGGCTCGAGGAGGCCGCCGCACGTGATCACCGCAAGCTGGGACAGGACCAGCAGCTCTTCTTCTTCCACGAGCTCTCCCCTGGCAGCGCCATGTGGCTGCCGCACGGCGCGCGTATCTACAATACGCTTCTCGCCTACATCAAGGAGCAATACTTCAAGCGCGATTACCATGAGGTCATCTCACCCAACATGTACAACGCCGAGCTGTGGAAGATCAGTGGACACTGGGACCACTACAAGGATGACATGTTCGTCATCGATGTCGACAAAGAAAAGTTTGGTTTGAAGCCCATGAATTGCCCCGGCCACTGCCTCATGTTCGCCCACACGCCCAAGGCCTATCACCAGCTGCCCTGGCGTGTTGCCGACTTTGGGGTTCTCCACCGGAACGAGGCCAGTGGTGCCTTGTCGGGTCTTACTCGTGTGCGCAGATTTCAGCAGGACGACGCACATATCTTCTGCAGAGAAGACCAAATCAAGTCAGAGATCAGCAATCTGTTTGACTTCCTCCGCGAGATGTACGGCCTTCTAGGTTTCACATTCAAGCTGCGCCTCTCCACCCGCCCAGAGAAGTATCTGGGCGAGCTTGAGACATGGAACAGAGCAGAGGACATGCTTAAGCAGGCACTGGACGAGTTCGCCGCCACCGACGCTGGTGTGCCTTGGACTTTGAACGAGGGCGATGGTGCCTTCTACGGTCCCAAGATTGACATCAAGATCATGGACGTCCTGAACCGTGAATGGCAGTGTGCCACTATTCAGCTGGACTTCCAGCTCCCTCAGAACTTTGGCCTGGAGTACGTCTCAGCAGATGTGCCCGCCAAGTCCAAGGAGGAGGAATCCCCTGCTGCGCCCAAGGCGCCGGAGGTCAAGTTTAAGGACCCCCAGGCCATCATCGAGTCTGCCGCTGGCACTGGCGAGGAGAAGGAGAAGAAGCGCGTCATCAAGCCTTTGACCAACGGCTGCCAGCGTCCCGTCATCATCCACCGTGCCATGGCTGGATCGATCGAAAGATTTACGGGTAAGCCACTGGTGAACCATGGAGTGGAATTGTGACTGACGCAGTCACGTTAGGTATCCTCATCGAGCACTTCGCTGGCAAGTGGCCGTTCTGGCTCAGCCCTAGACAAATCATGGTCATTCCTGTTGGCAAGGGCTTTGTCGAGTACGCCGAGGAGGTGCAAGCTACCTTTAAGAAGCAGGGCATGTGGGTGTAAGTTATCCTTTATTCCTCCCCGCAGCTTGAGAGAATGGCCTTGCTGACGTGACCTGGCAGTGATGTCGACCTATCCGGCAACACCCTGCCCAAGAAGATCCGCAGTGCTCAGTTGAGGTACGTAGTTTTACAAAGCTGCAATCCTATTTGGGGGAAAGAAGATGTTGCTAACAGACGTAGCCAATACAATTTCATCTTCGTCGTGGGTGATGAGGAAATGAAGAACAAGCAGGTCAACATCCGCTACCGCGACGACACATCAAGCCAAGACCGTGGCAAGCCCGTTGATGTCACGGAAGCCGTCGAGAAGCTCAAGAAGCTGCGGGAGGACCGTGGCACCTACAACCCCTTCCCCGCCGTAGCCAAGGCCGCAGCGGAAGTCAAGGCATGAGTGCAACGACGAAGTTTGCTTATTTACAACAGTAAATCACTCAGAATGGTGTTCAGGGCGGGGTGGTGTCGTGAAGGCTCAGATGCAGTAGTCTAGACCAGAATCGGGGCTGTACCATTGGCGGGTGGATGAATGGAATAAAAATTTAAAGACTTGATCTGATGATCCAAATATTCATACGTCATCGGAATGGTGAATGAGATAATGCGATTAGGGGTATCATGCATGTTTGACGTATGCGTCCGCGCTTCGATGTATCTCTATGTTGGGTCGACTGCGTATCTGACCTTGTTCCAGTCCAAACTTCCCTTGTGGTCCAGCCAAAAACCCATAGATTGCTAGTTTGTGCTCTTGCACGCCCAGCTCTTGTTTTCGTCGTAAAGTCCACCTTGAACTTCTGCTGAAGTCACTTTAGAACACTGTACGTCAACATCTGACTTTTAGTTGGTCAGATAATCCCCAACATCCCCTGAAACAGATGTTGTGCGTTCTTGAGGGAACGAGACGGATTTAAGGCTTAGGGATATGGATGCTCTTGCTGGTCATAAGGCACCCGTGTACCACAAAGACAAGGGCAATGGGATGGAACTCTAAGGCGGAGCCTGTGAGCCATGTTCCCAGAGGGAGATCCTGAAGAATCCACCGCTGAGAAACGAAGTAGGCCATAACAGCATCGAGGCCAAGACTGGTGGGGATTGGGGTCCCCTCAAAATACTTGCTCTTGCCAGTCGCATCCTTAGGTAAGGCCGAGACAGTGACGTTGAAACGAGCGAGGCGAGTAAGGCCGCAAAGGACGAAAAACGTCAAGCATACGTGATCGACAGGAGTGCGGAGGCCAAGGGCAAATGCGACAGAAGCAGGGGCAACGCCGAAAGAGATCTTTGGCTAAGGTTAGCTGCTGTCTCATTCCTCTATCCAAAGATATGCCTTGCCGCAGGATCCATCCGGCAGCCACGCAGCAGCGGTAGAATCCGCAAGAGTAGGAGGATTGACGTACCAAGTCGGCTAACGAATCCAGTTCCTGGCCCATCATACTGCTCTTCTTTCTCCACCGCGCAACCTTACCATCCATAAAGTCGAAGAACAAGCCGAACGGCAGGAAGAAGAGAGCAAGATACAGTGTGCTGTAGGACGACGGGTCGCCAAGGCAGTAGCGAAGAGAAGTGAAGATTGACATGACACCGCAGGCTCCTATTGAACAATATGTCAGTTGTACTTTCTCTCACTCTCTCCGCCTCTTATACACGCACACACACAGCGTGCCCTTTGATAGTAACGGTAGGTGTGACGGTGTATGTGCTCGCCAGCTAGGCCAAAGGAAGGCGAGATAATCGCAGATGGGAGGACGCACCATTGCAGAGAGTGATCGCATCGGCGAGATGGAGGGCGCGAATCAGCGAAAAGTGGCCAGTGTCGGCGGAGAGAAGAAGCTTCTGCTTGTCGTGGGCTATGGTTTGGGCAAGTCATTAGCATCGGACACATGCCGCCGCATGGCGTATGCGCTGAATGCCAACATACCGGGCTCGGCGAAGCTGTCGGCGGTGTCCTTGGCCGGGCTACCGTTCGTGATTGCGCTGCTTGTTCGCTTCGACATGGCTGCGATGAATACTGAACTCTAGGAACTGCAATTGTCGCAGACAAAGCGGTAGATGGATGGAGGTCGTGTTGACGATTTCAAATTTTAATGTCGTTCCGAAGTCTTGGTGGCAGCGCAGCTAGGACGTTGGGAGACGGGTAAATGGAGAGGGAGGAGGAAAATAAGGACGAGGGACGACTTTATGTAGGTGATATTTCCGTTGAGAGCTCCAAGGCGGTGCTAGGAGCAAAAAGCAGGTGCTGTTGCTGGTGCTGGTCAGGTAGGCATGAGGTAAGTCAGTCACACTCTGCCGCCTCGGAGAGCCAACAAGGATAGCTGGGGAAGGCACATGCCGTCATAGCCCTGTCGGTCTAGACTCGAAGCTGTCTAGCGGCCCCTGCTGAGAGACCAGCTGGGTGTTTTCACGTGATGCGACTGTGGACTGGGCGGTAGCGGGGAACTCATCATTGGCACAGCCCACACACAGCGCAGACACGGCAGCTAGTTATATGGCAAGGCAAAGTCGGTACGTACCTTGGGTTACCTCATGCTTCACTCACTGCCTCAAGAAGTTCTTCTTTCCAGCATCAACTGGGCTCAACGGATTGGCTTTGAAGGCAACAACCCTGGCAATTCAAGAGAAGATTGTCACTTACATTGGAAAAACTAACTCTACTACAAGTAGAACATAGTAATGTCTTACCTGGTCGCTTACACTGCTCTGCATCGCTCAAGGATTACACAGCCTCGGAAACCCTTTTCACAATTTATCATCGCAATACAATAGATTTAAGGTAGAATCACAAGTGCTGCTCCTGGTTCGGCACGCGTAGCCATGTGCTGTGATTTGTATCTACAACGGCGGAATAGAGTATGTTTTCATCCGCCGCAAAAGCCACTTGCCAGTAGCGTCAACTCGGCCAGTCAGCCAACCAGTGTGTACTGTACTCCCATAACCATACCCAAGACGCCTTGTTTGCTGCTGTTCCATGGTCGGGGCTTCTGTTATCGATGTCCATCAACACTAAAACAATAAAGACTATGATAAAAAATATGATGCGACAGCTTCGTCGAATTACTCCAGAATAAGGCGTATGTTGCCAGGAAATGGTATCAAACGGAGGGTGAATCCAATCAACGACTTGATCAGCCGGCAAACCCCTGCGACATATGTGATAGCACTAACCCTCCTGTTCCTCCTCTTGTTTGTCGTAAATACTATTAAGTTTATCCTCAGGCGTTACCCTCTAGAGTTGCTAGGAAACGTAAGAGACGCTTTATTTGACGATCAGGATCGAGAAACCGTCGACCCAGGCGCCGCAAGAGCCTGCTACACCACAGATAGTATATCCTCTCGGAGGTATCAGAGTATGTCTGCGGGGTGGTTAGCCAAAGGACTGCCGACTTCGGCTCCGCCTAGTTGTACTTACGCAGAACCACCGTAAGCATTGCCATATACAGGCGACCTCCTACCCAGGCTAGTAAGAACCTGGATAGCATCAATCCAGAATCCTGAGCGAACGTAAAAGCCTGAGATGTATTCGCCACGGCGGATGTCTGTTGTTGATGTTCCAGTTAGTCTACACAATTTGGTCACCTGGCGCTGTGGAAACTTACCAAACTCGAACGTATCGCCGCCTTCCTTGCCCCCTCTCTTGCCGAACAACTGCGTGGAATCGTCGTCATAAAAGAATTCTATGCCGTCCACGGCATATCCGTGATAAACAATGACTCGGGACAGCACCAGATTCTGTTTGACGGCGCTGTCAAACACAACCTCCTGTGCAACTGTGCCCTCCATGGCCGAGTTTCCGAGTGCCTTGCCTCGATAGGCCATCTTGCCAAGCGGACCAGGTGTCAGCTTGAACGAAGACTCCTTGGAGCAAAGCTTCTTGAAATCATCGATGTCCAGAGTGCCGCCGCCGTGCGACTTGACCGACACCCTAAGCTGTCCTTTGCGCTTGTTCTCTGGAAGTTTCTCTCGCAGTTCGCGATCGTTCAAAGTGAGTTGGCGTTGCACTGAGCCATTCTCCATGGGATATTCGATCCACTTCCGACAGACGTCGTCGTCCTCGGCAAAAAGCTCGATGAAGGCGATACCGGTCGCTGCCATCACCACTACGTTTCCGCTCTCGACTGGAAAAGCATGGACACTGTCGTCGGCGTTCATCGGAGCATCGTTCGGCAACCTGAAGCACGGATGTGTGCGGAAGCGTAAGCAGTCCAACCGATGCCAGCCACATTCATCAGCCTGCAACACCAACCCTCCCTTCGATTTGGTCCTGGTGCAGTAAGCCTCTCGGGTCACGAAGCTACGGTTCAGTGTGAGGTAGTCGCGGAGCATGACCCCATTTTCCTGATGAGGGCAGCCAAACAGATGACCAGTCTCGTGCAAGTGAGCACCAATCCCAATGTTGGCTGCTTCCCAGGAGCTTCCTGCCTGGTTGCAATCGTTGGCGACGAAGTCGAGGTCAGTCGGAGTGCAATCCGTAAATGCGGGGACAACTTCCTCGAAACTCGTGGGGTAGCTCTGCAAGCAGTGTGATCCGAAGATGGCCAATTGCAGATCGCCAGCATTTCCTCCCAGTGCGGCATGTCCCCTTACGACCTTGGCCTCCTTATCCCATTGTGTGTCGAGCATCAACACAGAAACGTACTGTTTTTGACCGCCAAGCGGCTTGAAGTATTGCTTGACCGCTTCGGCAGCGATTGCATAGAGGTCTCCCTTCTTGCTAGCCGTTTCGTTCTGTTGTGCCAGCTCGAGGTCTCGGATTTCGGCGACCGTTTTGTCCGATCTGATAATGTGTATTCTGGCCTCGGAGCGCAGGGTTCCGTTCTCACGATCCCGCTGGTTCGAAGTACCGGCAACCCATTCTTCCTCAAATCTGAACACGCGGCGTCCAAGCTTGTTGCGCCACATTTGCTCAGCTGTAAATGCTTGCCAGAGATAAGCGGCCATGCGGAACTTGCGCACTGCCGTATCCAATCCATTGCCCTCTCTCTCGATCCGAGCAGGGACAGCATCGAAGGTCGCGGGAGAGTCCTTGGCGACTACAATGGCGAGCTGCAGTGGAGGCGCACTGTTGACCGGCAACATGTGCACTGTCAGATAGGAAGCATGAATCGGGTTCGACGAAGAGCTGTTGGGTAGCTTCGGGCTCGAGAAGTCGAAGCGGATTTTGTTGGGGCCCGGCTGCAGATAAACTAAAGCCTTGAAGTGGGAGTCGCTCACAGGCCATGAGGTTGGTGGAAAGCCATCGTCAAGGCGGGTTACGGAAAGATTGCCATCGAGTGAGTGCTGTGAGGAGTCGCCGATAGTACCGTGTACGAGGAGAACCTTTTGATAGACCTTGTCAGATGTTAGCAGGGCGCTCGGAAGCTGCAGCTAATAGTTGACTGCGGTTGCAGCCGCCTGTGGCTAACTGTCTGAGCGAGCCCGCCGCACAGACAAGCAAGGTGATTGTAGAAGCAACAGAGCAAAGGTAGCACCACATGCGGCACGTTCTATGCAGAAATCTTGGATTGCTTACCCAAGCATTTTCAGTAACGTTGGCGATTCGCGGCGCGTACGGCGAGACTGGCAATGTCGACCTGCCATTGACAACGGGAGAACCAAGACCAGTCATGCCAGACACGCTTTGTCGGTGGGAATTAGGTACCGGTTGCATGGGCGGGCGGGCCTGAGGATGGTTGGAATCTTTCAATTGAAGGTCGAGAGCAGGGTCGGAGGCTTGGGCGATGGATGGAGGCGTTGAGGCGCCGCTGGTGGGAGTCGGGGTAGTTGCGTTGCTAGCATCGCTGGAGACGTCGGTGTTTGAGCGATCAGTCTTGAAGCTGGCTTTCGAACGGCGACGGAGAGCTCTGAAGTTGAGAATGGAAGGAGCCATGGTGCTCAATGGAGGGCACGGTAGCTTAACCGCAAACGAAGTACAGCTTCAACGAGAGAGGCTTGACATGTGCAGCGCGGTAGACGAGTAAACGAGCGAGGTGACAGAGTCGAAGTTGGGTTCGCGACTAACGATGATGATGGTGAAAGTTGAGGCAGCCTTCCTACAACAGCACAACAGGCATCGAAGTAAGAAGAAGGCCCCAGGAGCAATGAGAAGGATCCGGATGGGGGAGGGGGTCACTGATCAGTGAGCGACATCTGCAGCAATACAGGGAAGTTCGTTCGAAGGTGGGAGTGGGCGTATGTAGGGGGTAGCAAGCGGCTCAAGGTGATGTGCGAAAACAAGCAGGCACGATTGACAAAAGTATGGGAAATTAAAGAGCGCAACAAGAGCGCAAAGGAGGGTGCATGAGTTTGCAAGGAAAGTTTGCGTGTAGAGGGACGGAGGAGGTGGGATGAGATGATGGGACGGGATTGGGATGAAATGACGGAAGAGCAAAAACGTCCAAGGTTCCGGAAAAGTCAATCAATTGTTGCAAAGTCGACGTCCACATCAGCATCCACGGCCATGCCTACGGTCCAGTCTGGCAAGCGTGGCCCCCCCCCTTCCGGGGGCTCCATTTTGGTGCAGATCGATCAGGCACAGCACAGAGGAGAGAGTCGAAGATACAGAGTACAGAGGTAGGGAATGCATTACGACCGCGGGCGCGGATGGATGACCTTGGACGGACTACAGGGTAGCAGAAGACAACTTGTGTGCGCCGTGTACTTCCTTGCATAAGAGAAGGCTCGGTCGGCAGATAGCCGACAGCTGTTGATCGATGACGTCGCTCTGTTTCGAGAGTGGGAAACAGCCAGGTTGAAATTGTAACTGGGGACTTTGTTGGCCAGGCGAGAAACAGAAACGGGCGGGAACACTTTCGCAGCAAAGGCAAGGAAGAAGGTTGGAGGTGGGAAGGGGAAAGGGTGTCCGGAATGGCTGCGAAGTACATACTGTAGCAGCTGCGCACGAGCATCCCAAAAGATAACGAGTCGCGTAGACGAGGTACTCGTACTTACAACAACGACACCAGCTCCCTCCCCCTCCTTCTCACCTTGTAAACTGTGCGACTTATGCAATTACCAGGTGAGAAGTTGGTTCTTCACTCACATGTGCTTCCACTCGCCATGGCCAAATGAATCCCTTACTGTCCCATCCATATCGTGCTGCACGCACACTGGCAGATGGCATAAGCACGACAAAGTAGCTAGAGTAGAATTGTGCATCTGCAGCTTGGAGAAGGCCCCGGCCAACGGAAGTGGAGTTGGGACATATTTTCTGGGCCAGCGTCGTTGTCGTCGTCAACACCACGGTGACGCGGGCGAGTAGCGCCGACGGAGGGGGACAGGTGAGAGGAGAGGGGAACCGCCTCCTTCGATATGTGGGGGGGGGGGGCAACGGAACCGCCCCCGAGATGTACAGTTTACAATCAAGTCTATGCTTCAGCGTTTTTTATCTTTCTTCCTTTCTGGACATGCACAAGAACACAGACTGCCACCGCTGACTGGCTAGACCGCCCTCACTCATTCTCAGCCATCCTCAGCCACGAGCTGGTGGGATGAAGTCAGGTGGGATGTGGGGTATAAGATAGTGAACGGAATGAGAGGGCGAAGATGGGGATGAGGAATGAGGAGCGAGGAATGCACAATAGGATCCGGCGCCTTTGGGAGGAAGGAGGAGGAGCAGAAACGGCCAGGGCACCAGGCACCGTGGCACACATTCACCACCATGACCACGGTAGGAGAGATAGGTTTGCCGCTTATGAGATGGTGGTGGTGGTGGAGTTAAATGAGGTGAGGTTGGCAGGCCTGAGCAATACCAAGAAACATCTCAGACGAATGGAACCCAAGGGGTTGTGCCAGGTTTCCGAAGACCAATGTAACAAACGAGGCCAAGATCGACTGCGATATCAAATCCAGATTCGGACTGGCGGCCCAGGGTGTTCCAGGTTTGTCGGCGAATCTGACAGCCTACGCCCTCTACCGTCCAATTGTCTCAGTGCGTAAGGTACGTATCCACATAATTGCAAGTGACCTACGGAAACGGAAAGTGTGGCTGGGCTTGGCCTGCAAGCAAGCCCGCCGCTCTCACCACGGACGGGCTGCACCGGAATCGAGACCTGTACCGGCCTTCCTACTCCGTCTAACGGTGCGATCGAGATCAGAAGTTGCATGCAGGCGCAGGCTCGGCCACGTAACAACAAATTTATCTGTTCCTGTTGCACATGTGTTCGCTCTGCTAGATATGAAGCTGCCAAGCTGCATTGCTCTCTTTGACTCATCGGACCTGTTTAGAACAACAAAGGCGGAGACGAGTCGACTGTAGGTAGTCCGCTCTGGTCAACGACACGACTGTGGGAATAAATGGCATCATAGTGATGGTAGGATGATCATGCAGGAATGTGCACTAGGTTTGTGGATTGCATCCAACATAGTAGCCCTGTGCCGTCTTCCATCGGCTCCTGTTCATGTCCCATTTCCTTCCGCGGCGCAGCTTTTATTTTTGGTCGTGTGGGAGCCAGAGAAAGGAAGCGAAAGAAATAAATAAAAAAGAGTGGTTCCCGTAGCGTCGATCCAGTCCCGTTTCCCCAGGGCCTAATACGAGAAGCCAATCAACAATTGGCTTGCCATCGGAGTCGATGATGTATGCCTTGGTCATTTCCCCTGTTACTTCTTCCTAGGTGTTATTGCATTCAGTACCTAAGGACGGATGGATACATTGAGGTACTTCTCTCTACCTTCTACTGTGTGTCTACTCTAATACCGCCTTACAAAGACAGCTGAAGTACATATCTCAGTATCCAATTGTGCGTAGACGCGATTCTCGCTCTATCAATATGGGAAAGTGGCGGCCGTCGTCAGCCCAATCCCACCTTGTAAACACTTTACGCCCGTTTCATACGTCCCTAAAGACGTGCACCAAGCCACTTGCCTGGCCACGGGCAGATGCAACGTGCATTCATCCCACATGCCCAGGGATTCGAAGACGCGACAGCTGTATGCGAACCCGGTCCACCTCAGTCATAAACGCTGGGTAGGTATACAGACGTTTGGAACCATTGTGCCTGACCCTTGTCGCCGTGTAACTGACCAACAATCCGGATCGGCAACGCCTCGTGCCGGGTCTTAAATGTCTTGATAGCTTTTTGTGCACACATTATGATGTTGAGCTGGCACAAGCAGTTCACTGTACGATGTGCGGGACGCAGGCTCTCAATGCCCCAAAATAATCTCTCCAGCCAGAGTCGAAGGATAGAGAGTGAGCGAGTGCTACGGCGTGGCACATGGCGTGTCGTCTGTTACCACTCACAGCTCACAGGTGTCCGAGGCGTAGTCAACTCGAATTCAAGGTGTTCAGTGCTTTTAAATTTTATTTTATTTAAAATAAAAAAAACCCCCCCAGCATACTCACTAGGAATGAGCTGTACGTTAGATAGCCAATCGGTCCAACAATTGTTCCAACACAGGGTGTGCAGTGCTGATGTGCTTGGCGCCACGCTGTACAGCAGCAAGCCTTTGCAGACCAGTAATTAGCTGATTGGGTACAGGCTTTGGGGTGTGTGTAGCGACAGGGATCTAAATTGATTTCCCTTTCCACTGGTAAACTGCATGTATTTCACTACTGCCCGCTTCGGCACATTGACGAATTCCCTCCACGCGATCCTTATCCACGCGCCATCGACCTTACCGAGCAGCAGTCGGCACTGCACACGCCTGTTTCAAGTGGCAGGGGCACTTGTGTTTCTCAGCAAAGTCCCTGAGCGACTTCAGGTCTCTAACTGACGTGGCGAACCGCAAAGATAGCTTATCCAAATTGGACGGGTTCGTTGTCTGGATGTAAGCCATAAATATTTACACAAGTTCAGCTCGCAGGTTCCTTTCTCTGTCAGTTTGATACGGCTTCAACAATGAGTCATGATTGCATCTTGTTCCTACTTCGACTTTCAGCCTCTTACGTTCTATATCCGCTTCAGTCCCCGCTCACCTCTCGCGGTTGATGATGGTATGCGACGCCCATGAAGACCCTCAGACTCTCCCATCTGTAGACTTCATCTCTAGTGCTAGCCGTAGTCGAAACTGGCCGCCGCATAGTCGGTGGGCCGTGCGAACAGCTTCACCTTTGAAGGCATCCATTAGGATGATGTGTGATAACAAGACATCACCATCGCACCTGATTAAGATGCACCGGGAAACCTTGGGGGCCTGAAACGCTCATCAGAGCTTCTCAGACCGAAGTCCTGATGTCGGCCTTTGAGTGAGGAAACACGAGATTTGATAGTGGTGCCAGACCTCGGAAACGCTGATTCAATTGTTGAAGACATACATATCCCATCCAGCGATGGCAGAGCCAGTATGAAAGGGAAGCCAAGGCAGTTGCAGGCCAATGCACCCAGGTGATAAATACCTTATGATTTCGACATTGAAATCATCAAACCCCCCCCCCCTTGGCGGCCCCTCGCCTCAGTTGCCGTGACACTGGGAACACCGTAGGGGAAGCTGGCTACCCTTTCAGGCAAGGCGCTTCTGGCAGGGCAGTTTAATTACTTCTGGCCCTTACGCTTATGGACTCGGGCCACCCGACGCTGTCGAGGAATCCAATGAGGTGCCCTAGAGGCAACAGAGCACAGGGGGGCGCACGGCACTAGTGTTTGGCGAGCTGGGCTGCATCTGGCAGCGGCTCTCCAGTGACAATGCGCTGGACATACAGGTTAGCAGCGAGCTGGTGGTTAGTGGGTTGGGCAGGGCACTCAGGTGGGCACTGAAGCCGGGACTGGAGACCTGCAAACTGCCCTCCCCCGGCTGGGACTGACACTGACACTGCCGATGGCTCTGACGCTGACGGTTGGTTACCACGGGAATGGTGTGAATTTTGCTCCCGGCCCCCTCCCGTCTGGGTCCCCAGTGTCCCGTCCGCTGAGGCCGGACCACTCACTGCGCTGCATTTGCCAGCTGACGGGAATCCTCGCACCCAATCTCCCCATTCTCTCCTTCTCGTCGTCCGCTGGCATCCCGTCCCGTCTCGTCCTCCACAACTGCAAAATCTCGACGCTGTACCGTGAATCGAGGAAGAGCACTCCCTCTCTACCGTCGTTGAAGCCGCACACCCTCTCGGCTACACACATTCCTTTCTAGCAAACATTCCAGAATAATAAACCCCTCTCTCATTCCTCTTCCACCGTTGCTACGGCCCTCCACCAACCCCCAGTCAGACGATCGAACTTTGGTTTTCGTCACATACATACATACAAAACCCCCGCCTAAACCAAAGTAGGCGCTGGGCAACGTTCCTGAGTTCCCTTTGTGCGGCCAGCCCCTCAGATCATACCAACCAAGAGAACCGACTTTTCTCTTCTACGACTTCCAACATCATCAGCGGCACTGTGCATGCTCGGCCTCCAAGTCATGTCTTCTCCGTGGAAGCAACAGCCCGAAGAGGTGGCGGACAAGGTGCTGAAGAGGGTGGAAGTCAGCAAGGTGAGTCTTCAGAAGACCTCTACCATGACCGTAACATACAATGTGGGGTTTCGGCTGACCTCAACCCCCTTCACAGATAGCCCGAAGACTGCAAAATCGACTCGCCCTGGCTCAGTTCAAGACCAAGCATGGCTGGGAGGACTTAACCCTCGACACAATTGAACCGAAATACGAAGAGGAAATGCGACGGAAGCGACTATGTGAGGGCGACGTCTTGTCCGACTCTTCCTCCAGCGCCTCCGATCTGCCATATCCTACGAGAACCCTCATGAGCTCTCCATTGAAGGCTCCCCTTTTTTCCGACGCCATCGGCTCGAGCAACGGGAGCACCGGCCATCGCAAGCGGACCTACATGGCCTCTTTCGAGTACCCCTCGTCCAGTCCAAGCAAGCGCTATCGGTCTTCTCCTACCCCAATCAAGTCCTTACACAGCCATACATCATGGAAGGAGAGTCATCAGTTGGCGCAGTCATCGCCAATCAAGCCCCGGAGGCAGCAGCACTTCACCACGTCCACCGGTCCCGATGTATCGTTCTTCCAAGGAGCTCGAAGGCTGGCAGATGACCTGGTGTCGCCCAACTTTGCCGCAAACTCTGACGACGAAGATGATCTCCTCCCCGCGCAGTCTTTCAGGACTACCAACATTCGTTCTTCACCTCCAACAACGCCGCCGATGCGCAATCGCGCCATACCCAACCGTCGCACTAGAGACAGAGGCACAAACGGTGAGCCACCTGCCAAGTCTGGAGAAGAGGGCGCCGACCTCTTGCTGTACCTGGCTGCTTCTCCTTCACCCGCTGTCCCGTCCACCAAAACCAGAATGGAGCCTCCCTCAACGCCGCCGTCCAAAGTTGGCCGTGACATGACACTCCCCTCGTCTCATATGACCACACCGGGCGGGGGCAACATGTTCCCCAACACGCCAGGGCAAGGCTTCGACTTTGCAGAGTTTGTTAACATTACGCCAAGCCCCGCCCAAAAGGCGTGGAAGACACCGGTTGCTCTCTCATCGGCAAGGACTCCCGTCAGCCTGACAAGGAGACGGTTGACCTTCGACGAGCCCTTGGCTTGACGACAGGGTCTCGGCAGGCACGCTCTGTACTTTTTTCCCCATCTTTTCTACTATGTACATGATACCAGAACGGCGTGTCGTGCTTGAGCGGCTCAGCCTACTAAAATGGCGTTACCAGTGTCCTTTGCCCTCTTAAAAGAGGGAAAAGGACTTTGCGATGGAGATGAAGGCTTCATTCAAGGGCGCACGAGCGAGATGTCTGCGGAGAGACACTACTACGAAAGTGTTTGTTTGAGCCTGCAATGTTTGTTTCCGGCGCAAGGCCGCATCGGGAGGGACAGGAGTTTAGTGTTACGAAATGGGACAAATGTCAATCAATTGTATCCTTTGACTCTGCAAGAGCTTCATTGAAGCGAATCCCTTTCTTTTCTCCCTTTCTTTGCTTATGCCTCCTCTTTATCACCTTGCCATGTGGTTGGGAATGGATCCGAAGGTCCCAGGCTTGGACACGCGGTCCGAGCGGTAATCTACGCGCCCTGGAGTTGCGACGCGTTGCTTTAGGTTGGGTTTACGCGCAGAATGGCGCGCACGCGTCGCGTTCGTTTTAATTGAACTGATGGCCAGTCGGAACACGCATTCGGGCCGTGCGTCATCCACACCCCTGCTTTCCCAAGCCTTCGCATCCCACCCCTTCGGCTTGATGTCAGTGCGAGTCCGAGATTACTGAAGTCTACCTCTCTCTCATCACAAACGTACATTACGGATAAGAAGGGTAAAGGAAACAATAAAGCAGCAGACAGTATACGCGACTGTCAAACATATGTCTTCGGCATCCCACTTAGCGTCTCGTACGATCGCGGCATGGGACGTACTGGAGGAGAGATTATAAGGCAGCGTTGGTTCCACTCAGCGCATATGTTGTACGGTCTTGTGTTGATTCGTTATCGAATGTTTTCTGGATGTATCACCTGTGCCTCTCAAGCAACTGAACAATGCCACGTTTGACGCCTTCTGGACTCGGTTCCTCGGCACAGACGTCTGGCTCAAAGTCGAACGTGCGTCTCAGATAATCCCTTGTCGTCGGACCGATGGTCGCAATGAACGTGTTGCGCTCCTCACGTCCATCTCTCTTTGCCTTCCCCGTCGACTCGTCCAGCAACCCAAGGCCGCGCAGCATACTGTCGCAGCCCGTCGGCGAGAAGACGACGACCCAGCGTGCCGGCCGGTCCTCGGTAGCCCTGAGGATTTCTGCAAAGTCGTGGGAGAAAGATTCCATTACGCCCGTTCCGTAGACAACAATTTCATCCACCTGGATCCTTTGGTCACTCGGCAACTCCGCATCCATGAGGCTCCTGGGAATGATGTCCCGCCGCTGCTCACCGACAAGGAAGAGCAAGGGTGGCTTCGTCGACCGGCCCTTGTACCATTGGCCGTAGTGTTCCAGTATAAACTTGGCTAGGGCGTCGCCATTGCCGGTGTGCTCCCCAAATATTTGCAACGGCGGTTCTTGTGGGACGGACTTAAGTGCTCGCGTGGTGGCCGGACCGACGCTGTAGACCGGCACGTCCTGGAGGTGCGGCCACTTTTTGTCGGTTCCTGTCCATTCCATCAGCTCGGCTTCCTTGTCCCCGGTGTACTTTAGGGCCGTAAGCTGCACGATGGCCCAACTAACCATTATTCTCCGCGACCAAGCTAGAAAACGCCTCGACAGCTCGCTGCGATGTAAAGATAAGGCCGCCGTACGAGGCATCGATGTCCGTGTTGACACCGCGGCGATGCAAAACGTTCCTTACTGTCGCCATGCCCGTTTTCTGGAAGCTATGATGCAGAACCGGGACGAACGCTGGTTCGAAGGCATGGCCATCGTCTTCGTGAGAGAAGAGGTCCTCATACGAGTCACCCGGTGTTGACTTGGTTTTGAGTAAAAGCACCGGCACCCTGGCCAGTGAAGGCGATGAGGGGTTCCGAGCCATTTCAAAGCAGGATGGTTAGAGTTTGGTATACAATCCGTAGATAAGGCAAGAGGAGGACAACGGTTATTTGCCTCGCGAGATTAACGACTGTTGCGAAGTGCGCAGCTTCTGGATTTCTCTCAGCGTTGACTTCGACATATATCATGCCGAGCACCTTTGCCCCGCCGGAGCGAGACTTTTGGCAGGTGCCGCTGTATTAAAGTTACGTACTGTCTTAGGTAAGTCAACAGGACCTTATCGTCGTGCCTGAAGGTTCGTTCCCGGGCGCAAAGAAGCGGTCGACTATTCCACTTGAGGGCGGCTGCAGTGCGTTCATCGTCAACATGAACTTCTTGAGTCCTAACAACATTTCATGTCTTGCGACGCATAGGGTGTGATGTTATGGAATAATCATTCGCGTTCTCGGGACAAGCAGCCAGGGGGATTGTTCCTTTGTCCCTCAAAAGATGGCTCATCTTATCGCGTTACCCGCCTTGTCATCCTGGGTGAGGGATATCCAAGCCCGTCAGAACAAACCCAGTCGCTGGAACGAGTACAACTTCATCAGATTTATGTAGGTATCGGTATCCATGTTTCAATGACAATTCGATCGGTGCATCTCGACGATTCGAAAAGACGACGGCCAGGCCGACGAAATCGGAAGACCTTGTGTGGCCCCCTATGCGGTTCAAGGACAGAAAGCACCCCATCTCATCTCATCTCACCGATGGTGTGGCATCGATAAGCGGTGGATCGACCTTGGGGTTGTCGTAGGTACTGCACTACATTATCGTCAGAGCATCTCACCACGCCGCATCTCAACTCAGGTACCGAATGTCTTACGTCAGGGACCCAAGCCGAAGTAAGCCGGCATCACCACTCTAACGTCGCATTAGCGCGGCATTGAAGGTTCCAACGGTGTCTGCGCTTATCGATAAGGGAGCTTTCGAATAGTCTACGGACAAACAGCTCTGAGCTTACAAATTTCCTCCGACAGAATCCGCAGATCACTCCGAAATCGCGCACCATAATCACTCCATTCAGGTTCATTGTTGCACCGAATCTATCCTTTTCGGCCCGTCCTTGTCTTTCGGCTCCTCGCGACAGAAGCGAAACCTTGCGTGGGAACCCTCGGTCATGGCCGACGTAGAGCGCGACTCCCAAGCGGGTGGTGCCCTTCCAGATGCCGTGCCATCGACATCAACGACATCTGAGCCACCCAAGCCTTTGCCCAAGGGGATGGTCTTGGGTCCGGATGGCAAGCCGTATGTATTTTTCGCTAAACACTTGGGTTATATCACAACCTCGCTCGTGGAGACATGCTAACGAAGGATTTGTCAAGATGTCGTTCTTGCTCTTCAAAAAGCGCATTCTCCAGCTGGGCCACCCAAATGAATGGATCACTGAAAAAGGGTGCACCGGTGACCTCAGGTCCTGCTGATGACTGCCCACCCGATGTCGAAGCTCTTGGGCGTGGCACCTGGCAATTGTTGCACTCGATCGCTGCGACATACCCTGAGAAGCCTTCGCCAACACAAAAGGAGGATCTCCGAGGTTTCATGAGGCTATTCTCGAAGCTATACCCCTGCTGGGTGTGCGCCGAAGATTTTCAGTCCTATATGCAAAAGGAGCAGATAAGGGTCGAGGGACGCAACGAGTTTGGCAATTGGCTTTGCCAGGCGCATAACGAGGTCAACCGCAAGCTGGGGAAGAGGGAGTTTGACTGCAGTAAATGGGAGGAGCGATGGCGCACCGGCTGGAAAGACGGCCGTTGCGACTGAAGCGGCACGACCCGAAGAAGAAGAAGAAGAAGAAACTGTATCATGTGTATCAACGGCAGGCGAACTAGAGTCTCGGGCAGCATCATCATGGGCGTGGCGTTGACACTTTTGGGGGGGAAACTGCCCTCTTTGGGGCCAGTATATACAACACACGATTGTATCACATGTAGAATACACTTCACATGTACAAGACAGGACTATGATTGTCCCGTTTTCTCCAATCATTACCAACATCACTTTTCGTTTGCCCCATGTGTGCCAGAGCAGTCCTGCTTGTAGTTGATATCAAAGCGTCGGTAGTACTTGTCTCTGGTATGCACTTGAATCCAGATCATTGCCTGCGAAATCAGCTGAGGACAAGCAGGACGTCGAGGATCTGCACAAGTGCCATTTTCTGGACAGGAGAATACGATCAATACTAATGGCTCCATACAATAGTTACAACGTCTACCTATTAGATAATACTCAGTGTTGACAAAGACAAGGGCAGTCGGTTGTCCTCGGCATGAACAACAGAACCGCGGAATGCCTCTGAACAATGAACAACAACGAGAGGCGAGCCGATCTTCTAGCGACAGTCCAAGACCGAGACTACGAACATCCGAACCTGAATCCACAGTTCCCATAGTTATGCTCATCGTGGTGTCTGAGTAGTTTTATTTACTTATCAGATGGCACCGTAGCAGGGCCGAAGGTTGGCGCTAACATCAGATCATGTGGAAAGTTTGTGGGAATGAGGCAAGTGCGGACTAGGATACCTGAATTGCAGGTGGGCGGCCAGAAAAATAATTGAGCTGCGCAAGCTGCGCAACGAAGGCAAAAATGGTGAATCAAGGAGCGAGGCTTCCGTGATGCATTCATGCGGCTCAGCTAAGTCTGACGGGCCAGGGCAAGCGTAGATCCCGTTCGTCAACATGGTCTTCATTATTCTCTTGACGAGTGGAGGCAGAGAGAAAGTGAGTTAGACAGCGTGGTCCGGCAGCAGGATCCCGGCAAGACGGGCGCACATCCCACGCTGTCAGGGAATAGTCGGATGTATGGCACTGGTGGATGCTGGATGTGGTTGTTAGTCGAGTGTGAAGTGGTTACACTTTCTGAGCCCCTTGGTGGATTTGCAGCTCGGAACTGGTCTGAGGAATGGGGTAAGGTACTGTCTCCCGGGTGCGCCGAGTGGATATCCGCTACACCGGACCACCTAGTCCGCTGTGGTCCGCTGTAGCTTCGCTTCTTTCGGTTTCCTCGCTGCTTCGGTCGGAAATAGACAGACCAACGCACTACACAACAGCATAGAGACAGGGAGCAGAGCGGCAGTAGCGACGTTTGTTGGTCCAGTATGGTCCGGGCCAAATGCAGCCCACAATGTCACATTCTTCCCTGCTCCAACTGCATTTGCACCGTCGCCCTATTGGCCATTGATGCAACTCAACTGATCGATTCATTCCTGTTCCATCATGTTGTAACCCCAGCAATTCTCATGCACAGTGTCCTCCTTCTCGTCCCATTTCTTGACGGCAATGGATACTTCGACTCGTTAGGAGCGAGATACGACCCCTTTCCGCTCGAATATCTGGGACCTCGAGTGAGGTTTATGCTTTTCTATAACACCGAAAAGCTCCGTCCCCCCCCCGCCTTGATCCGGCATGGGCCCGGCGTATTGGTGGCCGCATCTTTGCGTGGCGTGTTTAGTTACATCAGTCTTGTCCTGTCATTAGCTTTTCTTGGTGCAATAGACCATTGTCTGCTGCTGGGCCTTCATTCTCGCCTGTGCCCAACTGGGTGACAACGCTACCGTCTCCCGTCTTTCCACCTCATCGTTAGATCCCGGTCCAGATCCCGGTCCCAATATGCATGGATCCCGCTAGAAGGCGAGACCGGTTAGCCGCCTGCGCTCAACCACCTTGAGAGCCTTTCTATTACTTTTTTCATTTTATACTATACGAATATGGAGCTTCGTTAACATACTACCCATCGCTGACAACCCTGTCGTTTCGCCTCGCAATGACCAGTGGCCTGACTTGATGACCCTAGTCAAGCCATCCGATGACATCGAGTGAGTCCGGCCGAGAGCGACATCGCCACATCTCTAAGAGTTGAGAACTAGATATAAACAGCTCTGCCTCTTGTCTTGTAAGAGGAGATATTCTCGTCTCGGACCCAGACATCAAAATCACATTCTCACATCAACCCTCATAGCAGCATCGAAGGCCACCTCTTCTCTAATAGCCAGCCATTATACATCATCCCAACAATGGCTGATATCAGAACTCAAGGGCTGAAACAGCCCGTCGACGTCGTTGAATATCTCTTCAAAAGACTTCACGAAGTTGGGGTTCGCTCCGTTCACGGTCTTCCCGGGGACTTCAATCTCGTTGCCCTTGATTACCTCCCTGAATGTGGTCTGAAGTGGGTTGGCAACGTCAACGAGCTCAACGCCGGTAAGCCCCATGATGCACCTGGTCGGTAGTTACTGTAGTGCCCAATACACTAATACTATTACTAGGCTATGCTGCCGACGGTTACGCTCGTGTCAAGGGCATCTCGGCCATCATTACCACCTTCGGTGTCGGCGAGCTCTCGGCCATCAACGCTCTTGCGGGCGCCTACTCGGAGCACATCCCTGTTGTCCACATTGTCGGATGCCCGTCTACTGTTTCCCAGAAGAACGGCATGCTCTTGCACCACACTCTCGGCAATGGTGACTTCAACGTCTTCTCCAATATGAGCTCTCAGATCTCTTGTGATGTTGCCCGTCTTAACAACCCAGCTGAGATCGCCAACCAGATCGACCATGCGCTCAGAGAATGTTGGATCCGCAGTCGCCCTGTATACATCATGCTCCCCACCGACATGGTTCAGAAGAAGATCGAGGGCGAAAGACTGCAGACCCCCATCAGCTTGGAGGAAGCTACCAACGATCCCGTCAGAGAGGAGTACGTCGTCGATGTAATCCTTAAGACGCTCCACGCTGCAAAGAACCCCATCATGCTCATCGATGCTTGCGCCATCCGTCACCGCGTTCTGCCAGAGGTCCATGCTCTCCTCGAGAAGGCCAAAATCCCCGTGTTTGTCACCCCCATGGGCAAGGGTGCCGTCAATGAGACTCACCCCAGCTATGGCGGCGTGTATGCTGGTACCGCTTCGCAACCCGACGTCGCTGAGCGTGTAGAGTCCTCGGACCTGATTCTGTCCGTCGGTGGTCTCAAGGTAAGTTTACACTGCTAACCTGAGCCACGTACAACCCGCTGATCCCGTCATAGAGTGATTTTAACACAGCTGGATTCTCCTACCGCACATCACAACTTAACACCATTGACTTCCACAGCACCCACACCAGGGTGCGCTACTCCGAATATCCCGGAATCACCATGCGTGGTGTGCTGCGCAAGATTACTGAACGCCTCGACCTGACCAAACTTACCATCACGACAACTCGGGAAGTGATCAACAGAGTGCCCAGCCCGAACTCAGACCCCTCCCAAACCATCACCCAGGCTTATCTGTGGCCCAGAGTTGGCAACTACCTCCGTGAGAATGACATCGTAGTCACTGAGACCGGCACTGCCAACTTTGGTATCTGGGACACGAAGTTTCCCGCTGGCGTGACAGCTTTGAGCCAAGTTTTCTGGGGAAGTATTGGCTGGTCCGTTGGCGCTGCTCAGGGTGCTGCGCTTGCTGCTAAGGATGCAGGCCAAGATCGCAGAACGATTCTCTTTGTTGGTGACGGCTCCTTCCAGCTCACGGCACAGGAGGTCACCACCATGCTCCGTCATGGCTTGAAAACAACAATGTGAGTCCAGGTCATCCTTACCCTGTGCATCTACCCGGCTTATTGACATTTGAATCAAGCTTCGTCATCTGCAATGATGGATATACTATCGAGCGATTCATTCATGGCATGGAGGCCGAATACAATGACATCGTCCAATGGGAGTACAAGGAGCTCGCGACTGTTTTTGGCGGCACTGATAAGACGGCCAAGAAGTTTGTCGTCAAGACCAAGGACGAGCTAGAGAAGCTCCTCACCGACAAAGATTTCAACAACCCCACGACACTGCAGTTCGTCGAGCTCTATCTTCCCAAAGAGGATGCTCCGAGGTCTCTCATCATGACTGCCGAGGCAAGTGCCAGGAACAATGCAAGGGCCGAGTAGAGGAACAACAGGCACGTGGGGGCACAGGAAAAGTTGAACTCGATGGCGCACGACTAGACTTGATGGATTCCTGGCAATGGGCTGGGAATTGGCTTGGTAATGGTAAAAAATGCTTTGGAGTAGATGTAAACCAGTCTTCGATTTTGTTGCATTTGTTCTACCCCAAAACCATAGGTTTTCAGCATGTGTCCAACCGTGTAAGCCAGCATCGCTGGACCTGGTAGTGAAGAATCTAGAACACACTGTAAAACTTCCGTATTTTTATGCGAGGAGTAGTTTGGCACACGTGGTGGTAACGGAGGGAATTCTAAGCTGCTTCTCCGTACTACCTGGCCTCTTAGCTCAGTTGGATATGGCGGCAATGAGTCGTCGGAGTGTAAAAGCTCTAGATCTGCTATTCCCTTCTTGTCCATCGGCACTGAACTCCTAGGCTTCAGCGGTGTTCAACGTCGTACCAATGTCCAAGTAACAGGTTGTAGACCCAGGAAGTCGTCGAGTGCTACCAAAACCCCACTGAAGCCCAATCGGTTCATGGCTGGTGCTGTAGCTGTAGATTAGAAAAATCCAATGCTCATTTCCCACTCCGAAAAGTCAAGACCTAGAATCAATCATCGCTGGGTGAGGTTTCCGGTATTTAGTTGACTACGCAGCCCGCTGGATGGCAGTTGAGGCGGCGGGTCTGGGCCTTCCATTTTACTGCCTCTGGGCGGTGTGGCAGTAATTTCCTTTTTCGTGATGTGCACCTAGCTTCTTCCCATCACCAGCCACCACCCTCTTCACACAGATCCACCTCATACGTGACTTCATCCAAAGGAATTGGGCAGAAACGAATTTCCAGTCGTGGGCCATACACAACTGTATAACTTTCATCTCTTGCAATGTCGGATTCCAAGAGGAAGCAGCCCAGTTCTGGAGGCGGCAATGCCCACCCGGCAAAGAGAAGCAAGGTAAGTTTCATCCGAATGCATGCTATTGCCTTCACGTGATGCTCCAATGGATCCAATGATGGCCTCTTAGACTAACCAGAACATTCTAGGGCGGCAAAGGTGCAGGTGCATGGCAAACGCCGCAACACAAGGCCAAGGTTGCCAGCCTCCAGGACAAGGGCGTGACCCTTGGCGTTGGAGACAAGGGCATCTGGGTCACATTTGCAAGAGGCATGGACGGGAAAGCAATTAGCGAGTTCAACACGCTCTGCGATGAGGTCTGTTTATCTATCGTCACTTTGTTACTTCTACTCACCAATATGTCTGTCTTCGTAGTATGGCAAAACGCTGTATGGTATAGTCCCTCCTGGCGACGAGGTCGAATCAGACAACGATGACGAGGACATCGAGGCCTCCATCAAGAAGGAGCTCGAGGGCATCAATGCCGATAGCAAAAGCAAGTCTAAGCGCAATTTCAAGGCTATCAAGGCTGGAATTGAGTGTGTCTTCTTCATGAAGACGAGAGATCCTGTTGATCCTGTTGAGCTCTGCCGCCGGATTTGTCAAGACGCCAGCGTTTGCATCGATCTGAAGGAGCGTAAGACCAAGTACATCAACCGGCTGACACCAGTTACTTTTGTCGACAAAGCCTCAGAGAACGGCGTCGCGAGAGTGGCCAGGAAGGCTCTGGCAGCACACTTTGAGTTGACGATGGAGGACGCTTCCGAGGTCACGGATGGCGAGGTTAAGGGGAGTTCAGGGAATACGAGGGCCGAAGGAGAGGAAGTTAAAGAATCGGAGATTACTGCGGCAGAAGAGCCAAAGGATGGCGAAAAGCCAGCTTTCACGGTCAGTCCCATAAAACGGGGTTTCTGGCCCGAATTAGTGTTAACACGTCACCAGTACGCCATCCGGCCTTCGATACGCAGCAATAGCTCACTCGACCGTGACGAGCTCATCAAGCAAATCGCCAAGACCGTCAAGCCGCGACACAAAGTCAACCTCACAAACCCCGATAAGGTTGTGCTAGTTGATGTATTCCAGGCAAGTGACTTGTGCTGCTGATCAGGCGTTCACCGACCTTTAGCTAACTGCTATGGCAGAGCTTCTGCGGCATGAGTGTCATTGAGAGCAGCGACTGGGATGGGCTAAAGAAGCTCAATGTCAACGAGCTGTACAAAGCATCCCCCGGGGCGAACCCAAAGGATCCTGCTACGAAAGCGGAGAAGGCAGTGTAATAGATGTGATATGGCATATTACCCTCTAAAGGATACAATCTGACTTCCAGCTAGTTGGTCGGAAATGATAGCTGGGCATTGTTCCTGATGTAAACCTGGATGCGCAGGCACTCGACAGTAGTCGAGACAGACAGGCTAGAATTCTGGAACAGCTGACGGCGATTTTTACTGGACTTTTCCGCCAACAAGGCATACATAACCTTGTCCCGCCATTCATTCGTCTGGCCTACTGGGCGCTCGGCGAGATGATGCTCCCATACGCGCAAGGTCAACGGAGAAAGTGAAGCACGGAACACATCTATCAACGAAAATCGCAAGGCAAATGGCGCCAGCACTAGATTACAGGCATTGGCACTGGAGATTGCGAGTGATCATTTCATCGACGCAATTACTGAGAAGTACATCAGCTCGAGCCCATTCTGCGTCTGCAGAAGCGACACGGGATCGGAGATTATTCTAAGCCACTCGGAAATGTAGCTCTCTATCTGGGCATGGACGCAGATGATGCCAGGCTACTGGCACCGGACGTATCCGAAGGCATGGAAACGGCGTTAGGGAGACGGGCTGACGGTCTCAGTGTGCCTCCTCTCTCTCAGCTGCGGGAAGGTTCGCTCACTGGTCAACACACTACCTGCTCACCGTACCTCGGGTTTGTCTGAGGCTGAGTGATGTGTATTGAGCTGTCAAGCTGCCCGAAGTCCATGGAACTTATTAAGAGTGTAGTGTAAGAGGTAAGCTGTACAATTTGAAAAGGGCGTTCTTGTCAGAATGCAGCTGAGGTTCATCCAGTAACGGTGCTGCCAAAAGTGCCCAAAACGAACCAGGGGTCGTCGTGATGGGAGTGGGGCGCACGTACGTCTGTATCCATGTCGGCGCTAAGCCTCATATGTATAAATTTGACGAGTCTCCAGAACCGTCAGCGGCTTCCAATCTTCTAGTCCTCTTCTTCCTATGCAACCAGGTTCCCAGGGGCCTATTGGAAGATCGATCTAGGAGAGCTGAGATTGGATGATCCCAACGGCTCGATGCATGTAAATCTCAGCCCCCCCCCCTAGCATTGTAGGGATTCCTCTCGTAAATACACTTGCACCTGATTGCTCCGGTCTTTGGTTGGACAGGTTGACGGAGCATTGGCAGCTCGACGCAGAACTTTACGTATTCTTTTGCTTAGAATCAGCATCGGACTGTGCTCTGGTGTGTTGCCGGTGCAAAGCAATCTGCGCAACGGGGCTATCCAATCCATGCGAGTATGAATATTTCTTTGTATGCTTAGACATGAGGTTGCCACCATGGTCTCAAAATAGTACATGTGCGGTGAGCTAGTTTTTAGAGTTGAGAGCAAGTTGCTGACAAGTTGAAATGCGATCGTACAACACGATCTAGTCTGCTAGTACACGGAAGGTTTCAGTTTGTATGAATGGATTCAGATGGGACAGCCAAGTAGGATCGGGTTGGTTCGGACTTTCAAAGTACCTGCTTCCCAGTGCGAGAGGCGGCAGATGTATTGGACAATCGTCAATTGCACTGGGAGGGAGGCGTGGGGGAGAGATTGAAGAGGGCCGAGGGGGTAAAGGTATTCGCGCCGTAGGCTGGAAAGACCCGGAAAGAGTGGATCTGGATTCGGTCGGTGTGTCTATGTACAATTTCCCACGTCTGGGCCAGTCGATGACCGCCCCGAGACTGCGGGCGGACGTCCGTACCCCACCAAGCTCGCTTGACGGTGTCCAATCACCAAATTCCCGGCTCGCTTCTCGATGCATAGCGCAGCTGGGGTGCCCCTGTCCTCTTCCCTGAGTCTATGTACTGTGTAAGAACCCCAACGATGCTAGTGGACGAACCTCCATTCCATCCATCCCTTCTTTGTTGTCGATGGGATATCACTCAAATCACCTTACCATCTGTTCATCTCCTCACGCCACCTCGATATGGTCTTTTAGCTTGCAGCATCAAAGCTTCAGGCTGAGCTGTAGCTCATCCGTAAACACACTTTTGGCGACCACTGCAACTTGACACAACACAAGGAGACAGCACGCTGCATGCAACGCGACAGCGTGCCTTACGTCCCTTAGCCCACACAACCTTCTCCGCGGGATCCTTCGAGTGGCGCCAAACCATCCGTTACCGCACATGTACTGCTGCTTATGCGGGTATGGAAATCTCCAACTGCATGATGGTTCCAGTTATCACCAGCTTTTCTCAAAAAGACATCGTCTTATGCAGCCTCGCTTGAGTTGACCCTAAGTGGCACGGATTTCGTCTCCTACTAGCATGTTGCATCGCAAAGCCACCCCTTTGAACCCCATCTTACCCTCTCAAATCTTGTTCCTTCCTTTCTCTCGGTCACTGTCCGTCGCACTCGTAATGTTGTTCCAAGCTATCTGATTGGGCCTGGGGCCGAGCTCGGGCTCGCCTTTCCCGGAGGGCAGGAGAAAGGGATAGACGATGTATGGGGAAGCTCCCACACATATTTGCAGACACACTGTCCCTCGCTCTTTGCGCATCTGAGGAGCAATGTAGCCTGCAATGGCAGCCATACAGACACAAGGCCGTTCCTTAGCGTTGTCTCTCTCGCTTATTTCTCACACGCTCATTGAGCGCCTCTTCGCCTTATCCCCAGTGTTCCTCCTTGCGCGACGCCTCGCCCGTCACCACCGAACCCGTCGACTTAGTCGGTTGACCTGCTGCTCGCCTGCTGTCCCTTCTCATTAGTCCGTCTCTTCGTTGGCTTACTATCGCAAGGTTCTCGCTTGCCCTGGATAGGACAAGGCCGTTCTCAAAGCTCGGCTACCTCATGGCCTGGAGCAATGTCTGCGCGCCGCCCGCCTTGCTCATGTCTCTCTTCTCCCCCTAGACCTCTGCTCCGCGACAGCCTAGCGTACTTGGACCCTCACATTCGCTCGGTTAAAGTATACGGAGACGTTCCATGAAGCCCAAATAACAGATGCCCCCATGTTGATACTGTGACAGCCGCCAGCTCATCCTGCTGTTCGAACAAGGACTGCTGGTCTACAACCACAACATCAACGCCAATACCCACCACATTCACCACCTCCTCCGTTTACCTTGCTTTTGCTCGCTCGGGTTTGACGGGGCCGAGTTCCTGAACGCCCTTAATCCCGGTCCTGTCATGCACTTTACATCCTTTCTCTTGTTTCTGCTCGTCTTCGTGTCATTCTCATGCGCCTAGTCCATCCAGCATTAGCATCATACCATCATCATTGTCATCTTTTGGACCCCAGAGAGTATCAGGCAGTCTTCCGGTCATCTTCTATTCGATCGCCCATTCTCCAGACCCAACTCGCTAGCCACCCGTTGCCATTGGACTTCTCTCTTGACATTGCCCTTCTTGGCACAGCGGCGTCCGAAACTCCCGGCCGGACCTGTCCGTGTGTTCATAGTCATTGCTACCTCGTACATCCCGACAACGTTCCCGTTTCGAGACCAGCAAGGGCTTGCTATATCTAGCTACCGCTCCCCATACCCTTCACATGGCTCCTAGTCGGTGCCACCGCATTCATATCTCGGCTTCACCTTCCATATAGCTCGTCTGCCTGGACGTTCCGCAGACCTGCAACATCCCGTCCGTCACGCATCGGCCTCCCGTAAGGCAGAACCCGTGCCACGCCTCAGCGTCAGCGACGTCCATGTACGCGCCGACTCCAGTAAAGCCCATTCAGGCCGTTATAAGCCGTTTAGTGCCCCAAGCTACCGTCCAACAAGTCCAGGTAATGCCTTCGGTCCATTGCCAACGCGTCTATGGGGTCAAAGTCTCCAACGGAACGAGCCTCGTTCTCGTCGTCCCTCCACCGCCCATGATCAAGCTCCTTCGGTCTGAACGCGCCTCCGTCATATCGGAGGCGGCAGTCTTGAAATGGCTTGCTGGCAAGACCATCGAGCAGCCTCTTCTTCAGGAGCGAACTCCCGAGCCGGACGACTTGCTGGCACCCTCCTCGGATTTGGTCAAAGGGGTGAAAGGGGGTGGAAACTCCCTTGACGACACAGCAGAAAAGTTACGTGCTCTGGTACCAACACTCGTATCGCATGCGGCGACTTTGAACGAGTTAGGCCTCGAATACAACCTCCTTAAACCAATACAAGGCACCCCGATCTCCGAGTTGAGCCCACCACTCTCCCCCTCAGAACGTAGGACAGTCGATTACCAGATCGGACAGCTGTACAGGCAGTTATGCAAGCAAGTATCCCCAACTGGGCGATTCGGTCCCGCTTTTGCCGTCCTTCCTTCGGCTGCATCACCACCCGCGACAGACCCGATAGAGCCAGCGAGGCGAGACGTGAACGCAAGACTGATGGAATCGAGGGGGGTCCAGTCCTGGACCACAACATTCCACTCCATGCTGGAAGCTGTTCTTCGAGATGGGGAGGATATGCAGGTTATGCTGGGATATGGTACTATTCGCCGGCATTTCAAGCGCCTCGAACACACTCTCGACGGTATCAAAACACCCCGACTCGTGGCCGTTGACATCGGGAAGGATATCAACACGCTTGCGTTGAGAAAACTGCGCCGAGGAGGTACCGTATCGCTTGCAACAAGCAGATCTAAGAGCGCTCTGGAAGATGTCCCTCGAAGTAATGGCAGTGATGCGGATGGTGAAGAGGACGCCGATCATGCGACAGAGTCAGAATCAGAAGATGCAGCAACCATTTCTCTGTATTATCAGAACGACATCATCATGACCGGGATGAAGGACTGGAGTAATTTTGTCTTTGGCGATCCGTTATTCGCCCTCAACTTTAGCCGGGACCCGAGCAGCGACTTTCTCGCGGGGTTTGGCGGTGACTCGAGAGGGCAGGGCCCCACTACGTCCATGTTCTCTTCGGACATGATCGAGGACAAGGAGAGAGCTCACGTCCGCCTTCTCCTGTACGACTGTTACCACACTGTCACCCATATCGCCAAGGGGTATTTCCGGCCGCAAAAAGATAGCCACGAGCTAGAGGCTCGGAAAAGGCTCAATGCCATCTTGGCACAATTGGACGCGCTGGACGATACTGGCATTCGGAGGGGAAGAAGACCAAGCGGCGAATTGAGCCCGGCGAAACGCTCCAAGAGCAGTAGCAAGGACGATTAGACTATCCGCCGCATTTTGAGGGGTGGCCTAAGAGACATCGCGAGCGGCGAAGCCTTCTCGCAACATATTTAATTGGAACATGTACATTGTTGGGCCTGGCGTACGGCCATCTGCCTTTGGGACGTGCCAAGGTCGGTTAACAGAGTCGATTAGCGACCAAGCATAAAGCGTTCGACCTTTATAACTGTTCATCTTCCTTTGCTTTCCTCGACGTCACTCGTGTCTTCATCTCGCGGGAGTTGAAGTCCCATCATGCCTAGGATGTTACCGGTTGGGCCTGGCATGCCTGCCTGTCCCTTGAAGCTCTCGAGGAGGTTCTTGGCTAGGTTGTAGTCAATGTCGACTTCACCATCGTCGCCATCGTTCTCGTCTTCGTACTCAGTGTTTACATGATCAGTCGTCGCTGCCATATTCCTTTCGTCAACAGATGCCTTCTGCCTGCCCTTGCCCTTATCTTTGAGTACAGAAGCGTTGTTCCGTGGCTGATCTAACTTGAGGGCGCCATGTTGTTTAAGCTCTGCTTCCAACTGGGAAGCTAGCTTCCGGAGCTCTTCGTCATCAGATTCTTTCTCATCTGTGTTTTCGTCCAGCCCGGTCTGTGCAGATTTATTTGGTGCTACAACCGACTCGCTCGATGTTGGTGTCGTACCAGACTCTGCCGGCGCCAACCCCATCATCTCTCTCATCATCCGAGAGAACTCTGCCTCGTCGAAGCTGACCGCCTTGTCTTCATCGTCATTGTCTTCATCGCTCTCATCATCGTCGTCGTCGTCATCGTCATCGACGTCCATCTCGTCACCCTCGACACCGTCGAGGCCTGCGCTTTCGTCGTTCAAGAAGGCCTCAAACCGAGATACAATCTTTCGCAGGTCTGCCTGCGTTGTGGCATCTCCGAACCCGGATTTGGGTCCACTGCGGTTTCCGCCTTTCCGTCCTGATAGCTCATTTTCAAAATCCTCGTAATTTATATCCATCCACGACTCGTCATCTTCTCGGTGAGCATCTTTCCATGTAATGATTTCATCATCCCCAGGCAGGACCGAGTCCCCGTCCTCTTTAAGGTCCTCGGCAACGATGCTCGCCTCCTGGGCCTCACGACTGTCGGTCTTGCTAATGTTGTTCAGCATGATTTCAAATCCGCATGTGAGTTTCATGCCCATTTCGAGACGGGTTTGTTCTGTCCCCTTTGCTTGTTGAATCAAGGTGGCCCACGGAACGGGAGGCTCGAACCTCTGGGATCTGAGTTGAGCAAATAATACTCTGGTGAATTTTACACTCAGCGTGACAAGATCCTTCGGAGGAAAGTGGAGGTCATTGTTCCGAGACAGAAGAGTTTTCAAATCTAATGCGTCGCGGAGATAGAAAGATTCCACAGCCGGAGCGACAGCCTTCGGGCTCTGGTGAAGAACATGGGCTAGCCTTCGGGGGATCGTCACGAGTGCGTGATGCAGAGAGTTCTGGATCTGGCCAGGGTATTTTTCTAGGCGATAGAATGCCTCGGCTTCGATGAAGTCTGAGTGAATTAGCGAGCCAGGGGCATTTCTGATGATCCCCACGGCGTCTGGCAGCGTCAGTAGCTTTGACTTCGACCCCTTGTCGGATTGTTGCGGAATGATGCGGAGGCGGCCATGGTTGATCCAAACGCGGTTCTGGTCAGTTTCTGGACTCAGCCACTTTGGAAGAACATTGGCTGCTTCTATGAGGAGGAACTCCCCATCTGCATCGAACACGCGCACCCAGGCAGATGGGTGAGATTTAGAGAGTTCTCTGAGGATGTATACTATCAGCCACTCGTCCTCGATGGCATCTCCGTAATCGGTTGTTCCTCGTAGGAAGGTCAGGCCTAGGCAAGTGTTAGGCGTGACATGAATGCTCTGACATGTTCAGGGCGCACCTTGGTCGGTAACCACATCGAGGGTAAGCGAGCCTTTTTGCCAAATATAGTCAGCCGTCAGGCGAGTTGTAAGCCGTAAAGCTGATTTGCGCAGGTCCTCAAGACGGGAGAGATGCTTTTTCTGGTTGTTCTGGGCGTCGGAGTCGATCAGGAAAATGCAATACTGTACGCAATTTTCCGGCAGGCTTTGGGCGTTGTTAACGTTGGAGTCGTCGCTAGCGGTTCCCATCTGCCGTCCCAGCATTGGCTGGGCCATAGCTGATGATCGGCTAGGTGAATTCCTTCTGTGTCCCTGGGCTGAGTTCGAATTGGCAGTCGTAGATGTAGGGATAGGAGTCTGTAACACTAAGAAAGTCAAAGGGAAGGGTTCACTTGGAGCTTTGAAAAGCTGTCGTGGCCGTGGCCGTGGCCGATACTTTAAGAGTGGAGTAAGCCGCGGTCAAAGATCAAACTCGTAGACGATGACACGACCTCGATGCGAATGAGCCGTTTTGACTTGACGGAGCTATAGCTGGTAGCCATCTGCCTGGCATGCATGTGATGAGGCGAAACCACTGGAACTATCCATTTCATTTGGCTCAGCTAAGGACGAAGGTAGCCTAGTAGGGCGGTTCATACCGTGCTGGCAGGTGCTCGAAACTGAGGTACAAGCAATGGCACTTGCCCCGCTTAGATGCTCCAAAAAAAAGAGTACAAACACCTTCGTGCTTGGATACCAACTTCTAGGTAAGCCTCTCCAAGATCCCTCCACTGAAAGCTCGCGGCTCGATGTACCCATCTTGCCAGTACTAACACACACTGACACAGCACTGTGCGCGTTAAGTGCCAGGTTCCGAGCAAGCCCCGCCGCGGAAATTCATACCTGGCGCGTATCCCTGCATGCCTCCCAACGCGTCGCACAAAGCCGTCGTGCTTCGTCCAAGACCCTCACTTAACTTACACATGACGTCCATCATCGTCGAGGCCTACTAAGATTCATCATCACATTGGAGCATTAGAAGGCCTGTCAGATCAGAGGCAAGTGCGACCACGCGGGCGCATTTTCTACCCAAAAACGCCATGGCTCCTGCCAAAAGGTCACACGCCGTCCTGGAAGCAGGCGGCGCAGACGATGAGGTACTAGACGTCCAGCACGCAAGGTCGTCCCTTAGCCAAGGCACGTCTGTAAGTACGCTCGAAGGATGGCACAGCTCCAGGTCTATATCTAGCTTAAATTGCTGACGTTTCCGTTACCTGCAGTCAAAAAGAGTCCGATTGTCGTACTCGGTACAGCCGAAGCAGCATGCAGCCGCCCAGAGGGACGAAACCTCTAGCTCAGATAGCGAGGCTGTCGAAGACAACCAAGATGATGAAGACCACGGAGGGCGACCCGGACGCGACTCCCCGCCACGAACTCAATACGAGATTGCTCGCGACGATGGCTTCAGGCACTTGCAGTACGAGGACCAAGACGATCAGCGTGCTACACAAAAGATCAAAAGCCGCCCGCAACGCATCGGCGACAATCACGCAGCCGAGAACGGCATCATCGAGAGTGTCGAGTGCGTCAATTTCATGTGTCATGAGCGGCTCTACGTTGAGCTGGGGCCCCTTATCAACTTCATCGTTGGCGAGAACGGCAGCGGTAAGAGTGCTGTGCTGACGGCCCTTACATTATGCCTTGGCGGCAAGGCCAGCTCCACCAACAGAGGTGGAAGTCTGAAGAGCTTCATCAAAGAAGGTCAAGTCAACTCCGTCATCGTTGTCAAGATAAAAAACCAGGGCATCGACGCCTACCAACACGACCTGTATGGCGACACCATCACGGTCGAGCGTCACTTTTCTAGGGCGGGCGCCAGTGGCTTCAAGCTCAAAAGCGTGGCAGGCAAGACAATTTCTACAAAAAAGGCCGACGTCGATGAGATATCCGAATATTGGGCGCTGCAGGTCGACAACCCACTCAACGTACTATCGCAAGACAACGCACGTCAGTTTTTGAACTCTTCATCGCCATCTATGAAGTACAAATTCTTTGTCCGTGGCGTGCAACTGGAACAGCTCGACAATGACTACAAATTGCTGACGGAGATTCTTGAAAGCCACGAGGCGAAGTTACCGAGTCTGGAGGAGCATGTTCGCCGCGCCAAGAGAGAGCATATTGAGGCACAGAAGCTTAAGGACATTGCTCAAAGGAATGAGGAGATGAGGAAGACGTATCGCCGGCTACGAAACCAGTTGTATTGGTCCCAAGTGGCCGAGCAAGAGGATACGCTAGCGAAATATAATAACGAAATTGCCGCCCTAGACGAGGAAATTCGTCGCGCCACAGTAAACATCGAGCAGGCATCACAAGCTCTGACCCAGCGTGACGAGCAATTGGAGCGTACCAAAGCAACAGTGGAGAACGAATCGCAGGAAATTAGTGCGATTCAGGAAAACATTGAAGCCGCTGATGGGGCGTACCAAGATGCCAAGAAGTCTGTTACCGACATACACCACCAGCTCAGAGATGTTCAGCAACGCCTGAAGAACGCCGGGCAAGGGTTGTTGATTTCGAAAGCAAGATCCAAGCTGAGGAGCAACGCCTTGGGGCCGGAACTGGCAGTGCTCGTCAGGAACAGGAGACACTCCTGAACGAAGCAAAATCGGAAGAGGCTTCGATCAAGGAACAGATGGCCGAGGAGAACGACAGATTACCGCAGCTCAGAGCGGAATTGATTCACGCTCAGAAGGCTGCAGAGGGGGGCAAGGTCGAGTTTGATAGAAAGAGGGCAGAGATATCCTCGGCCGAGGGCCGCTTGCGCAACCTGGAGCAGAACAGAGGGTCCATCTGGGCTGCTTACGACAAGAAGATTCCTCTCCTCCTCCAGGCTATCGAGAAGGACAACGGGTTTCAAGAGAAGCCTGTTGGCCCAATTGGAGCCCATGTCCAACTTACTCGGCCCGAATGGTCGCCCATTCTGGAGACAATCTTTGGTGCGACTCTGGATGGCTTCCTTGTGTCCAACAAGACGGATCAACAACGTCTGGCCAGACTGATGCAGCAGGTGAACCTGGGTCGGACACCTCCGATAATCATCGGCAGACGGTTGCCACCCAACGTGAAGCTAAGGGAACCGGACCCGGCTTTCGACACGGTTCTTCGCGTACTCAAATTCGACAACGACTGGGTTCGCAGTCAGCTCATCGTGGCCCATACGATCGACAAGATTGTCCTGATAAGAGAAAGGGCAAAAGCACAGGATGTCATGATGAGCGATTCACCACCGCCGAATGTACAAGCTTGTATTTCCTTTCACGATGGCGCTGGTAAACGCGGCACCGGCCTTCGCATGGCCCGTTCAGGCGGCGCAGGATTCAGCCAAAGCCCATCAATCCTTTCCCACGAGCGCCGAGAATGAAATCAGATGACGAGACACAAATCAGTCTCGCCAAGGATTCCCTGACTCATCTCCGGGAGACTTGCGGTCCATCGAGCTGAAGCGGCGCGAGCTTGACCAAGCGGTTACGAAATGCAAGTCGGCTCTGTCGACTCAAGACCAACAGAACCAATCACTGGAGCGGCAGCTGCTGCGGGTTCAAGCCAGAATTGAGAACATCTCGGCAGAGCTCGACCAGTACGAAGGAGCTGACGGCAGACTAATCTCGCTCCGGGAAGAGCTAGAGAAGATTAAGGCAGAGCGAGAGCATCATGGTACCCAGTACGGCGAGATGCGATTACGGCAGGAGGATCTTAACAAGAGATGTGAAGAGTGCAAAAGGACGCTTGCCGAAGAAAAGGGGCGGATGAAAGACTTCCAGGTCCATATCGCGAAGTTACAGCTCGCAGTCCAGAAAGCCGAAGACCTACGGAAGATGGCTGTTTTGGAGAAGAACCGTGCCTTCCAGGACCGTGATGATGCGGTTCTGGAAAAAGAACGGGCAGAGACGAGGCGCGATGAGCAGGCCGAGGTTGTCGCCAACTTCACCCAGCAGGCCATGGAGAAGGCGCCGCAGCGAGTTTATATCGAGGAGGGTGAAACTCATAAGAGCATCGAGAGCAAGTACGCTACTGTTCATCAACAGCTGGAGAAGAGAGCGCAGAAACTCGGAGCTTCGGATGAGGAGATCAAAGAGCGGGCGGCCAGGGCGGAAGCTGCATTCGAAGCTGCGCAACAGCTGTACAAGGGGCAGCAGGAAGAGCAGGCGGCAGGCAAGCTCAACTTGGAAGACCGATTGAATCGGTGGCGGCTGTTCCAGCGACACATCTCAGCGCGCGCTCGCATCTGCTTCCAGTATCTCTTGAGCGAGCGTGGATTCAGAGGCAAACTTGCAATTGACCATCCTCAAAGGAGGCTGCAGCTTTTCGTGGAACCAGATGAAACCAGAAAAGGGACTGGTGGTCGGAGCACAAAGACGTTGTCGGGAGGCGAGAAGTCATTCTCGTCCATCTGCATGCTGCTGGCCATTTGGGAGGCTATGGGATCGCCTCTTCGGTGCTTGGACGAGTTTGACGTCTTCATGGACAATGTCAACCGCACCATCAGCACAAACATGCTGGTAAGTCCTGTTTCAACGGCGCAACTTAGCCTCTTCCGTAGCTAACATCATGCCTCCTATTAGATTACTGCCGCTCGACGCTCAGTGTCACGACAGTACATTATGATCACACCAAACGCGATTGAGGGACGGGCCACACTCGACAAGGACGTCAAGATCATCCGGTAAGTTATGACTTCCTGGGGAGTAAGCTCTTGACCATTGCATGGATGTCCAGCTAATGTGGTATCTAGTCTCACTGATCCCCGGCAACGGACTTTAGTCTAATGTTGTAAGAGGATCTGTCTTTTGCTGTTTTTGCGGCGTACTGGCACTGGCGTCAAGGACGGCACAATCTTGACGATGGCACAAGCGTATGGATGGATCTTGTGGCGATGGGCGTTTCGTAAATTGCGCTCGAGTGTCTTGTCGAGCTCATCCCCAAGCTGTCGGCAGCGTATCTAGCTGGATGGTGAACTGAGAAGGAGGGTTGGGTAGGTCAAGGACGTTGTCCTAATAGAATGAAGTGTATATGGTAAATACATGATAATATACAGCAGCCTGGGTCGCGATAGATGGGCGGCGGAGGTATCGATCGCAGAGACCTTGAGCCAAAGCCTAGATTCGAAGTCCCTTGCTTCTCAAGACATTTATGCCCGCGCTAGCCGTAAAGCCAACCCACTGTCCCACGGAGCCTAGAACACCACCAGCCTCCCTGACCTCGTCCAATCTTCGCCGAAGGAAATCTCTCGTATCCTGGAAATCGGAGGATCTGTCATTGGTCATGAAAAGCTCGCTTGAGGCGTATATCATGGATAAGCTCGCGCGCTTAGTGTACCACGAAGGGTCGACGGAGATGTCGCCAGAAAGGAACCAGATTTCGTCCACCAATCTGGCCAATTCCTTGATCGAAGCGGTTGCATAGCTCGGTTGCGCCATGACGGCCAATGCCTGTCGCATCCATCATTAGTATGGGACCACAAGCTTGTTGCCTATAGCAGGCAGTGGGATGGACAAAGAAAAGGGTAAAGGGAAAGGGATTTGCGCTACCTCTTGCCAGCGGTCAACGATGGGTTTGTTTTCTATTAACCGCTCCCATGTGAGACGCTCGACTTTCTCGCCAACGCCGGCTTGCGACATCTCTCCAAATATTTGCTTGCCCTTGGCGGCCAAACCCTCCCTCTTTGTCACAAGGTGGTAGCGGATCAGGCTGAAGGGGCCGTCTGGCAGCACGCTGGTGCTAATGTCGAGGTATCCGGCATCCTTAGCGCCAAGTGCGAGAGCTTTGTGTGAGAACCCGTGCTCTGGCACATACTTGTAGGCCGCCGACAAGATCGTCTGTTCGTGCGGGTGAAAGGACGTAGTCGAGTCCGGGTGATCGTAGGACTGATAGGACCGGCTCATCCGGGGGCCGGCGAAGGCGCCCTTCGGACACTGGCGCAGAGAGCGGAAGGCCGTTCTAGCGGCCGGGCGGTAAGGAATGGACATGGCTTTTGAAGGTGAGCTTCAGTGTGGTTGTGGCAACAGGGAAAGGGAGGGTTGCGGATTTCGTGGCGTCGAATCGACGACAACAGCAAGCAATGGTGGTGAGGCCTTTTCCCCCTGCCCCTTTCGGTCGATCTGGCTGTTATGCCTTTCCGAATAGCGACAAAACTGGAACGCTGGTTCTAATGGCGGATGATCCCGCGTCGCCTAATTCTTCAAATCAACTTGGGGGAGTTCAGGGATCAACCAGCGTCCAGACTCCGAGCGTTTGTTTCCAAACAGTGTCTTGTGTTGTAGGGCGGCGCCAGCACAGGGCGCTACGAGACCCAGGCCAGGAGTGCAGCCTGAGGTTGGCATGGTGGGCCACTCCTTCGGAAGACCTAGGACGGTCTTTATACTGCCCGTGCCGTACTGAAAGGTACTTCATCATGCCATGTTGGAGAAGAAAGACGAAAACAGGAGGAAATCAAGCTATCTGAGTTGCCGAGGAGATACATTGCTGATGATCGCAGAAAGCGGGCCAGATAGCAAGTATACCATGGCCTCGCTGCGAGACTTCAGGTTGCTTCGATGGACCCTGGAGAAGCACAGAAGGCCCATGATCCTGTGATCCGGGACGCCTTATATTCCTGCCTTCTGTTGCACCACATCAGTATTGGCACGAGTATCGATATCGGCCCAAGACGTGAGAGGTGTATCTCTCACCAAGATAGGTAATTGGGCGATTTGGCAGTTCTTCTAGGTGGTGCCATGCGCGTTACGGAAACACACTGAGAACTATGGCCGCGACCTGAGTACCGTGTTGTGAACCTGGAAACGATTAGGACAGCATAAGCAGAAAGGCTGGGCTTCAAACACCTTGAGTATTTTTTTACGCTTGTCTCGCGTCCTGGGGTGTGTCTATGAGCTGGACCTGACTCTTCAGATAAGAGAAGAGATGAGGCGATGTGCTGGGGAATGGCTGAGGGCTACGCCCATCGGCGCTTAGGAACCACACATAGTCGTGCTGCCCAAACCGTGGCCGATGATAACACGACGTGCAAGCTCAGTGGGCAAAAGAAACACTCTGCGCCCCCAAAGGACGTGAAGCACGACTATCCGTACGCCCCGTCCATTGACTCATGAATATGCAACTGGTAACCCTATGCTCACCCTTCACGCTGCAACGGGATGCGGGAAATGCTTACGAGATGTGGAACCGGACACTAGCCAGGCCAGACAGGTTCACGCCCATATGTGGCTCGAGTTGTACCTTAGATGCCTATCCATTAGCTAACCTCCTCAGGGTCTTCAAGGTTCCTGCGACAGATCCTGACAGTCTATCAACAGAAGAATACCAAGCGAAAGCTTATCTGGCCGTCAATGATTTCCAAATAAAGACCGAGCTAAACGAGGACCGGTTTCGATAATGCGGGCGTGGGTGGTGACCTGGAGAGGCAGCATTTGGTATCGGCATAACCAAAAAGGCGAGACAGAGAGGACGATTAGAGGCCAACGAGACTGGAGAAGGTGTCAGTTGTGACAAGGCAAAGCACCAGCCGAAGCCCTCAAGGTTGCGTGCTGCGCAGGGAACAAGGTGGGAAGGTCGTTGATGATTGCATGCGCTCAAGACAGGGTCTGGAGCATCTGGAACTGCTTCAAGGTACCGGCCTCTTTACATGCGTAGTAATGGTCGTCGCTACCTCCCAGCCTGATGTACTTGCGCCCAACTCGAAAGTAACTGTCTCCCGGGTACCCTCATCGGTGCAATATATTTCGCCGGCGCGTCGATACCCGGAATTCACTTGGCAAAGACCCAATGCGACCGTATCTGCGTTCTGCACTGATGATGGCATGGAGAACGCCGTAAGCCAACCACGCCTAGTCATACATGTATCTTGACATCTTAGTACCCTTCCTCGGAGAACTATGCGTTGCGGCTCTTCATATGGAGGTAGGAAGTGGATATTAAATGTCAGGTAAGGTGAGGTTTGTACATAGTACACACTCGCGCAGTCCATTCCTTACGTATGAGCTGAGTGACGTTGACGATGCTGAGGTGCACATAGGACACGCATACTACTATACTTGGCGAACAACAGCCGTTATCCGACTTGGATCAACCGGTTTTCTGCCTGGCAAACGTGCCACTACATGTGTGTGTAAATGTGCGCCGAGGGTGGACAAAAATCAAGATCAATTGGCACTTCCAATCGAAGTCGAGCACAGTAGTTAGTTGGAGTCGCCCAGCTCATCCAAAGCAACGCAAGTTGTACCAAGGTAGCCTACGCAAGTCGCAACCGAAGGTGGCATTTTGATTCGTCGCCAACTGCGAGTTGAGCTCCGCCATCTGCTGTGCCTGTTCACATTTCCTGCAGTTTAGTCCCACATGTGAAGCGGCCCTGTGGCCAATCGCTGTTGAAAATTGGGAGGAAGCCATGTGAGCTGCTTGCTTGGGGTACATGAGCACAGACTAAGCTGGGAGCTACGGGCAGATGCCAACCGAAGACAAGAAGGGACACAAGCACCACAAGGCACCCTCCCCTTGCCTTTTGGCGCTGGGCGGGTCGCTGAAGTTGGATGCCTCATGTGTTTGGTATGCCTGGCGTCTTTTTGCCCCCTGAAGCTTTTAAGCTTTTCATTGGTTATCGTTGCGCCAATGTCGCGTTGTGTGTTTACGACAGCTTTGATTCTGCCTTGCCTTGCCTCATCTGTAGCTTTTTCTCATCCCCTCGCAGGAACCGACCGACCTCATCTGCAGCCAAGGCAAATTACTTCACCCTCACTCAGCTCAAGGTAAGAAGAAGATCTCACATTTCCAAAACCTTTCGGGGTTGATATCGATTTAGTGCTCCCTGCCTTGCGCATCATTTGCGTCAACAATTGACGTCTTTCGGTTACCAACCAGCTTTGGCACCGTCTCTACCGTTTGCCGTCACCAATAGTGACGGTACATCCGTACCTTACTGTCGGTACCTCTTTTCTCTCTGCCCCTAGAGGTAAGTACCTACATCCTCACCCCGTCTCCCAACAGTGGACGCTGCCCCCACCGCGCGTACAACAACTGTACCTGATTCAAATCGCGTCGCTCAAGTTGTTCCGACCCAATTCGCGTCATCTCTCTCCGTTCCGTTTCGTTTCGCTGCCGCCCACGCACGTCCAATTGACCACACATTCTCTCTCCCTCTCTTTCTCTCCTCGCGCACTACATCCGACACCACCTTACTCACACACACACACACACGCACCCGTATCCGCACCCACACCCGTTGACGCCTGTTCGCTGCCTGTTGTTTTGCGAGCCCGCGCCTACCTTACCCACCCGACCCGACTTTTACCTGGTCCAACCTCACCTTGCCTTGCCTTGCGCTTACCTTACTTACCTCATCCATCAGTCACCACATACCACGTACACACTCTTCATTCTGCCTTACCTGACCTCAGGTATCTCATCTCGACAGCAACGCGCGCGCGTCACATCACTTCGCATCGTATCGCATCGCATCACAGCACCGCACTGCACACCATAGCAGCACCAGCAGCTACAAGCAACCACCAGCAGCGCATCACGTCGCCGCACCGCATATCTTGAGCTGCTAGCCAAGTCGTCTTCCACCCTTCCCTCTCGGATCACCCGAGTCGTCAATCACCATGGGTATGTCTTCGTCTCGTCTCTGTTGTCTCTGTTTCCATCACAGCTCGTCTCCTTCTCCCCTTCCCCTTTAGATGGTCGCTCGTCACCACGTTCGGCTTGTTCCTTGTTCTGCTTCAGATATTGCTTCAGCTCCTGCTCGAGCTCCAACTCAGCTTTGCCTTCGCATTTTCTGTCGTCTCAACGCTGTTGCACTCCTGCACCTCCTCCACAGTACCGTAACCTCACGCATCACCTTGTTTGCCCTGCCTTCCCTTGCCTTGCCTCACCTTGGCTGTACTTGCTTGCCAGTCCCTCTTCCTGTCTGCTATCACCTGCTCCCTCGTCACTGTATGGTTCTCTACACAATGTACACATTCACCCCAACCCCCTCCCCGACTTTCAACCCTGCTCTTACGACGATGAAGACGTCGTCGTTTTGCTTCAGCGTGTAAAGTACTCTGTCCACCTCCTCGACGCCTTTCACTTTGTCACTTTGAAGTGAAGCATTCACATTTCGAAGGGATGGCGAGGCTTTGATGAACGCTTATGCGGCGTTTTCGGCCAGCACCTTCCCAAGCGGCTTTCCCATCCCATCACCTCGCCCTGCTTATCCTCTCTTCCTCCTGCCGCTTGCCCTGGCCAACCACGGCATCACCCGGCCTTACATACAGACACACACGTACATGCACACATGGCTACTCTGTGTGTACATGCCTGAGTTGGAACATATGCCGACATCCCTCCATCCGCCCAACCATTCAACCCCCATTCATCACGCCCCATCATCCAACCATTCCCTTATACACTCACTCGCTCACTCGCCCATTGATCCATCCATCCATACCATACACATACATACATACACTAGACGCGTGAGCAGATACACCACCTTGCCCAGCCCATAGCTTCCTCACCTTGCCTACATCTGCTGGACAATTCTCCCCCTTGTACTGGTTTCCCACCCACCCCTCCCTTCCTTGCTCCCCCTCCCCCTCCTCGTGCTTTCCCACCCCTCCTCTACAGAGTACCGCACCTACCTTGCCTTGGGTACCGTACCTTAGCTGCATGTCCTTCCGCTCCTTCTCCACCAATTGCCCTCGTACCCCCTCGTCCTTCTCTTAGGTACTGCCCACCCTCAGCTATCCAAATATCACTGCTGGTACACCCTCCTCCTTCCTCCGTCTCCGTCTCCTTGTTCAACCACTTCGTGTTCTCCTGCTTTCTTCTTGCAAACACTTCCAGCAATTTCTGCCTCCCCGACCTTCAGACTAACTTGACCTCGTAGCTGACTCCGGCGACACCTATCGACCTGTAAGTGTAAGATCACCCCGATTCCTTTCGTCATTCAAACTCAAGCAACCCATCGGTGTCGTTATCCTGCTGCGTCTTGCCCTGAATCCTCTGTCGTCTCCGCCCGCACCCGCACTTGCGGCGGTGCTCGTGCCTCCGCGGGGTTTGCCCGCTTCTCACGAGGTGCGCCGCGCTGCCCCGAAGCTGGCGGCATCGCCAGGCACCTTTCATTATCGTTGCTCTTTCCTTGGCCTTTCTGCTTGCGACAGCACAGCGAGCGAGCTAGCTTCCTTTTCTTCTGACGATCGGGGGAGGAGGTGTCGTGGCAGCACCTTCCTCACCTTGCTTCGTCAGCCGTCCGGGCCGCACCTACATACACAACGCCGTTTCCTACCTTGTTCCCCTTGAGGCTACGTCCCCTCACCACATCGACTCATGTGCTTCACGCAAGCAATTCTTACGTCTAACGCTCCCTCGTATTCGACATCGTCAAGTGACGAACCCGCCTGGAACCACATCACTAACGACGGCTGTCCCGCTTTCACGATTCAACGGCCAATGGCGGCGTTCTCTGCTAACTTGCGACAGCGGGAGAGATCTCGTTCCCCTCGACGTGGGCGTTCACGTAGTCCCAACCGCGCTTCAAGACGCCGTTCCTTTTCTCCTCGAAGCCGATCCCGTAGCAGAGACGAGTACCGCGGAAGGAGAGACCGTTCCCCATGACTGGAACCGGAGCTCCATCTGGAGGATCTAGCACTGGGTACGCAGGAGCACCGCCGCACCGATCGTACGAGGAGCGCGCAGCCGCCCGCGAGCAAATGATGAGCAACATTAGGGAGACGTCTCAGCAGGACCGCCGCGTCTACGTCGGCAACCTTTCTTACGATGTGAAGTGGCACCATCTCAAGGACTTCATGCGACAGGGTTAGTGTGTCTTTTCGGCCTCAACGGCTTGGTGTTGGAGACACGCGGGCTGACAAGTTTCTTCTTCACTTTAGCCGGAGAGGTTCTCTTCGCCGACGTGTTATTACTTCCAAATGGAATGTCGAAGGTGGGCTTCTACACGTAGTCTATGGCTGGTTTTTCTTTTGTGGACTCTTCCCTCTGGCTATTGATGGAATCGTTGGATTGACGGGTTGGGACGTGTGTCCATGGGTCTATGTAGGGATGCGGGTAAGTTTCCGGTTCATCTCTATACTGCATATTCTAGTGCTAACAGCAATCTCTAGAATTGTGGAATATGCGACGCGGGACCAAGCCCAGAACGCTGTGGCAACGCTCAGCAACCAGAACCTAATGGGCCGACTCGTCTATGTTCGAGAAGTACGTACAAAGAACCAAGATCTGCAAGTCAACGTGAGCGCAAGCTAACCATACGATCTTTAGGACCGCGAGGCTGAGCCTCGTTTCATCGGTGCCACGGCCAACCGCGGCGGTTTTGGCGGCGGTGGCATGAACCCCGGTGGCTTCGGCGGCGGCGGTGGTGGCGGTGGTGGCGGCTACAACCCAGGCGGTGGCAGCCGTCAAATATACGTGGCCAACGTTTGTGATCCCCTTGTCTATGTGATAGTTGGAATGCTGGATAGCATGAACTGACCTATTCACTAGCTTCCATACACTGTAGGCTGGCAAGACCTCAAGGACCTGTTCAGACAGGCTGGTAAGTTGACCTCTACCTCTATCACATGACGCCGTTGGCGATCAAACCCCCAACCCCCTTAGTGGTGCTTGGACTCACTGTGTACTCCTTAGCTCGAAACGGAGTCGTCATCCGCGCCGATGTTCACCTAGGACCAGACGGTCGCCCCAAGGGTTCCGGAATCGTCGTTTTCGAGAATCCTGATGATGCCCGCAACGCTATCCAGCAGTTTAATGGCTACGACTGGCAGGGCCGCTTACTGGAAGTTCGCGAGGATAGGTTCGCTGGCGCTGGAGGTCCTATGGGCTTCGGAGGCCGAGGCGGCTTTGGTGGCGGCGGCATGCGAGGCGGCTTTGGTGGCGGTTACGGTCGCGGCGGCTTCGGCGGTGGCCGTGGTGGCTTCGGTGGCGGCGGCTATGGTCGCGGAGGCTTCGGCGGCGGTCCTGGTGTTGGTGGTATTGGTGGCCCCGGCGCCCCCGGTGGCTTCGATGCTGGCAACGCGCCTTCGGTTCCTCCTAACCCCTTCACTGACTACGCTACTGCTGGGACCGACAGGAGCGAAACTATTTACGTACGAAACGTGAGTTGACCTATTTGCCAGTTTATGACTGAGCACTAATTCTTCGCAGCTTCCCTGGTCTACCAGCAATGAAGATCTCGTCGAACTCTTCACAACTATCGGCAAGGTTGAGCAGGCGGAGATTCAGTATGAGCCAAGTGGTAGATCGCGCGGAACCGGTGTGGTTCGTTTCGATTCTGCGGAGACCGCTGAAACTGCGATCGCCAAGTTCCAGGGTTACCAATACGGAGGCCGACCCTTGGGTCTAAGCTTTGTCAGATACCTGAACGCTGCAGGTGGCGGTGACAGCATGGAGACAGACGCCCATGCTGGTTTGACACAAGATCAGATTATGTAAGGGCAGAATTTGACCTGACACATGGGCCATTGGTGTTGCTCTCAACGGACTCGGCAAAGCTCAGGTTGGCAATTGCCTCCAGCCAGCGTACAGATCGTCTTCACGGCGGATCGACATTTGACTTTGGACGAGTTGCTCCTATCCTCGGTTCATACGACAGCCTACAAAACCTTTTCTTTCTTTCTCTCATTTCTTCCTCGATTGTCTTTCGTTTTCTTAACAGCAAAACGTCTTCTTCGACTCATGTTTCGGGTATTCAAGGCGGGATGGACTGGGTCACGATTGGTCGCAACATGAACTCGTCGGCCAACTTCGAGACGACTTTTCATCATGTAGTGTTATCAATTAGGATGGTCATTTCGACCCTGGTAGCCCCGGTAGTACAGTCATTGCAGGCAAGTACTCCTGGCACAGCCTTCCTCTCAGGGCTCGACGTGGACCTTCACACAAAAGTTATATTTTGTTAAGGACACGTGTCTTGAATTCTGTGTAAGGCCAGGCGGGAGGTGATTCAGAACCTCTACCTAGAATGTATTTCGAAATAGCATCCGAACTTTGCGCGCGATGGTGGTTGCCGGATATGATGAAATGGGCTGGACAACGGCGATGTGGTGATCATAGGAGACGCGGCGAACAGGCGACATGCTTACAAGCTGCGTGGTCGACGACAATCCTTTAGCATGCCATTGGCGTCTCCAGGGTCGCGGAAGAAAAATCAGTAGGCGTTCTGGTACAACATGGTGCAGCGCACATCATGTATTTCTGACAGATGGATGTGGGAGTTGGCAAGGCAACAGATGCTGATGATAAGTGAGCCTTGACCTCATGGACAACACGCGAAACATGAGAGACAACATGACTGTCCGTGAGAACAGCGGCCTCTAAGCTTGGGTACCTGGGTCAACGATGTTTGTGTTGGCAACTGTGTAACCTCCTGACACTTATCCATCGGCAGGGTCCTGGCATGTTCTCATCCGGTCACTGTCATGGCCAGCTGCCTCAGACGCAAAGCAAGCCAGCCACATACCGGATGACTGGCGCAGTCCTGTCGGGAATGCACACTACAGAGATCTGTTCCCTATGTGAAGTATATAAGACAGGGCAAGCTGTATTGTAACTGTACTGCAAAATCACGCAAAACCACGCAAAACCCAGGTTTACAGGTCTAGCTCCAGGATACCAGCCGGTGTTATCGCATCGTTTCCGTTTATAGCCAATCATCAGCTACTCGACGGTCGATGTGCGAACTCTATCTTTACAGGTGTATGGGTTGCGGAATAAGGTGGCAGAGATACAAGAAGTTGACAAGCTGCGAGAGCAATGATCTAGCTTCCCTGTGCCCATACAGTCTATGCATGTACGTTGGCAACCCCAAGAAACCCAGGCGCGCCGAGTGCGAAGCGTGCGCACAAGTCAGAGAGGCTCTCAACGGGGTCGGCAACGATGACGTAAACCACAAATGACTGGCTGACTGCCTTCTGAAGTCTTGAATATACCATTCCAGAAACAGATTGGAGAAGGATATGGAACAATTCGAGGCAATTAGGTTGACCGTGCAAAGGAGGCAGAAATATCAACTTCTGAGCACGTGGCCCGGCACACAGCCCTGTCTATCAAGTTTCCGTTCATCATCTGCAGCCTCCAATTGCTCGCTGCCGTTCGTCGCAGATGCTGAAGAGCTTCAGGGCCGCAACAGTGACCACTCTCGGGTCGAGAAGCCATAGTCGTATACTGTGCACTCCGACCGCCTCCGGTAGCACATGCCCATCGTTGGCCCATTCATCCACGGTCCATGTCTTCCTGATCCCTTCAGCTATGAAGCAGCATTTGAGAGAGAGCGTCAATTATCCATAAAACCATGCGCAGGCTCGGTACGGTGGTTCCCTAGTACCAGGCCTCGCCCAAAGCCAGCATGACATTAGGGCGCAGTAGGTGCCGTAACAGCCCCTCCCTTTTTCTTCCTGGCCTTGGCCTTTTTCTTGCTCCGGTCTCTCGGCTTCAGCGCCGCCATTCCCGCCTTGCAGATGTCGGCATATCGAGCATAGAAAGCCTCCAAAGCATCAGGCTCAACTATAGTTGATAGTTTGACCTTGGTATCCCTGTGTTTCTTTGACTTGCCGTTGGTTGCGCGCACGATGACGGGCAGCGGTTCCGCGGGACGGAGATCGGGAAACGGTTCGTCAGTCGTCAGTGAAGGCAGGCCTTGCTCGTATGACACTGGACGGAAGCGTCAGTATCTCAGCAAAATGAAGGTGGGGGGGCAGTTGTGACAGCCGTACATCGCTTTTGGACGAGAAAGATCGAGCCATGGCCTTTCCCTTTGCGCTGCTCAAAAAGGTCGGCCAACTTGCCGAAAAACTACACGCAGCGCAAGTTAGCCAGAGCGTGAAGAACAGGAGAGCGACCTCCGCGACGTATGCAATAGTAAAGGGGAAGCTGGAATAAATATTCTTACCTCGTCGTGGCTCAGGTGGCCCAGCATGATCGAAGGCGCCGCTGGCGTCGCCCTGATTCCACTACTTACCGTTATTAAAAGCTGGAAAAAAAAATTATATGACGTGCTATTCCATAAGAGGAGCTCCAAGTAAGGAGGTGAGGTCGAGGTCAAAATCGCTATGCTATGGGAGTGGCAGTACGACGTGAGTTGACAGGACCTAACAATGTGTGAGGGCGACGCTTCCAGTCGGGACAGTTGGGAGACTGCAGCCCCGCAGTAGGATATGATACCGCGATTTACGATGTACCTAAGCCTGCCCCTGTAAGGCCCTCTGTGTACCTGCCAGCCCACCTCAGCTTGTACGTAGCACCACCACCTACCTGGGCTGGTCATTATTCCCCGCCGTCGGTACCGTGGCCTAGTCGACCGCGTGGCTCCACTAAAAAGTTTCCCACGATGCAGATAGTGACCCTAAACGTCTCCAAGCGAAATACTTTTGAACCAAATACTACAAACAACCGCGCCCCTCACCATACTTCAATTCGATCAGTGGCCTAGCATTCTGATTGCGAGGCTTCTCAAAAGCTTTCTAACACTGCCATCGCGTCGCCCTACCAAAACTTGTGCTCTGAACCACGGACGCAGCCACCGCGATGGCCCCTAAGCCGCTTGCCTTGCCCTCGCAACTCCTCAGAGAGATCGGCGAACCAGAAAAGTCCAGCACCTCCCGATCCAACGGACGATGGAAGAGTCAGGAGCAAAACAGAAAAGACCGGCGGAGAGCCGAGAGGCAATCGAAGAAGCAGCGGCAGACCACAGCACGGAAGGATCCCACTAAACAAATCCAACGTCACAACGAAAGAGACCAGAAGGGCGTCGACGAGGGCCCCTTTGATGATGCCGAGGAACCACCTGCGCAGCAACATCCCTGGAAATCCATGTTGAAAAAGCGGAAACGAGAAGATCCAGGCGAGGCCGACGATAGTGATGAAACAGAGCAGCCACCAGCCGCAAAGCAACCATCCCGTGGCGTACGAGAGAAGCTGGCCAAAGACGATGCTGAGATTGAGCAACTCGAGCGCAAACTAGGGTTGAAAAAGGGACGCAAGTCACTGCCAAAGTCTTTCAAGGATGACGGGCTGGACGATCTGCTGGGCGATCTTAATGACGCCAGTGACTCGGATGAAGGGGGCCGCAAGGTGAAGAGTGAGGCCGAAGAGTGGCTAGCGCAAAAACGAAGGAAAGCGAATAGCATACTTGCGAAAGCACAGCGCGCTTCAGAAAACGACGAGGATGAAGAAGATGAGGAATCATCCAGCGACGAACTCAAAGTTACTAGTAACGATGACGACGACGACGACGACGACGACGACGACGACGACGATGCCATGGCCTCTGAATATTTGGACGCTTCAGACGATCAGGGTTCCTTCAATGACTTCGACTCGGAAGAGGAAGAGACAATACAAGACACCAAACGTGTCAGAGAAAACCCCTATTTACCACCGATTGCAGCCGGCACACAGCTTCCAAAGTACATTCCCCCATCATTGCGGGCGAGATCCGGCAGCGATGCAGACATGGAGGCCCAGATTCGTAGGAAACTACAAGGCCCTGTCAACAGAGTGACTGAAGCCAACCTGACGTCCATTGTTGGCGAGATCGAAAGAATTTACCAGGACCATCCCAGGGGCCACACCAACAACATCCTGACCAGCCTTCTGATGGCTCAGATCTGCGACCCTACGAGCAAGCCTGACACGTTGTTGGTTCTTTCTGCCGGCTTCATTGCGGCCCTCTACAAAGTTATTGGTGTCGACTTTGCAGCCCACTTCCTCACCACGTCCGTAGAGCGGTTCCAGGTGGAGAGGAGGAAGGCAGTTGCAGCAGCGGCCAAGCAGCAGATACCGACAAAAGAAACGTCCAACTTGCTCACGGTGCTGTCGGAGATGTACATCTTCCGCGTCGTTGGCAGCAATCTCATGTTCGACTTTGTGCGGCTGCTTCTCGGCGACCTCTCAGAGCTGAACGCCGAGCTTCTGCTGCGAATTGTGCGCGTGGCGGGCCCCAGTTGCGCAAGGACGACCCATTGGCCCTGAAGGACATTGTTAGCCTGATTCGTCCAGCCGTGGCCAAGATTGGGGAGGGTAACCTGACGGTTCGTACAAAGTTCATGATTGAAACCATCAGCGACCTCAAGAACAACAAGATCAAGGCCGGCGCACAGGATTTGGTTATTCTCAATGAGCATGTAACACGCATGAGGAAGGTATTGGGGTCCCTCGACACACTCAAACTTAGAGCTACAGAACCTCTGCGGATTGGTCTCAAGGACATTGAGAACGCAGACAGGACTGGAAAGTGGTGGCTGGTTGGTGCTAGTTGGGCAGGTCAGGGTGCGCAAGATGCGAAACAAAACGATGACAAGGCTGCGGTACCGGAAAGATCGGGGTCCGGTAACGGCATCAACGATGATGACGAGGTGGCCATTACGGACGCCGATGACCTGGCCACACCCGACTACGCCCAGCTTGCTAGAGAACAGGGCATGAATACAGACGTGCGAAGAGCCATCTTTATTGCCTTAGTGGCCGCCGCCGACTACCAAGACGCGTACATGCGGATTCTCAAGTTGCGGCTCAACAAGTACAACCGACGCGAGGTGCCGAATGTGCTGCTTCAATGTTCAGGGGCACAACAACACTATAACCCCTATTACACTCTGGTGGCAAGAAAGTTTTGCAGCGACTCGAGGATCAAGCATGCTTTCAGGGACACATTATGGACGCTGTTCCGCAGACTCGGCGAGCCTTTGTTTGGAGAAGAACCAGAGGAAGAGGACGAGGAGGCAGCAGATGATCGGCGGCTCATCAACACTGCCAAGATGGTTGGAAGTCTGGTTGCCGATGGGTCTATCGGCCTTGGGATCCTCAAACCTATCAACTTGGCGTACGTCAAGGAGACAACGAGTTTGTTCGTCGAGGTGATGCTCATCACTGTGCTTCAAGAGTGTAGCCGGGTCAAGAATAAGAGTTTGGAACAGGCACTCAGCGTGCCTTTAGGCAGTGGCTTGGCCCCAGCCCTCGCACGAAGTCTGGGCTATTTCTTGCGCAAAAAGGTACGAGTCACGGATTTGGTTGGAGGTAAAAAGGATACCAAGAAGGTCAAGGAGGCCTGCAAGGTTGCTGAGGGGTTGCTTGAGAGGCCAGGTATTGATGAGGCATAGTTGGAAGTCGTTAGTAATATGATAGCAAGAAAAGATAATGCCGCCACTTTTTGCTGGCCAAAAGATGGTGTCTGGGCACTACCTTGAGTGAACGAGTAACGATGAAGTGTCAGGAAGAAGCCGAAGTGAACAAGATGATTTGACTCCAATGTAGCCGAACAATTCCGGGAGGTGGAGCGGGTGGTCGGTATCTCACCCGTAATGCCGGGGAGTGAATCTCAGCCAGAGGTGAGGGTACAAGAAGTAATGTATCGGTATATTTTTCGTTAAGTGCGTCTTTTAATGACGGCTGTAACATCGAAAGCTGATGACAGCAGCGCGCGGGCGCAACGGCTAATGTCGCCTCAACACGGGAGATGACGGGAAGAACCAGAACGTTGGGGAGGCACTGTTGCTCGCCGCCCCTGGCGAGGTGTGCATCTAACATGTCGAATGCAGTCATGGAACGGTGATTACATAACCACGCGTTAAAGCATCTGCATTGGCAGTTCAGTGGCATTACTTTTGCGCTGAGAAACTTACTGACCGTGCACCGTGTCATCGGTTGACAGCAAAGAAAAACAGAGCACGCAGTCTCAATTGCCAAGTGATAGGTCCGATAGTCATGAAGTATGCCATGCGCTGCATACATCAGTTTGGGTAGAATTCTCACCAATGACTGTTCTTTTTCTCTTACAGTTTTATATCGCTATTTAGCCGTTGTCTTCTTTGTATTGTGGTAGGAATAGAGTAGGAGGTACATACAGACAATGGACTGACAACGACAGTAGTAGAAGAAAGCTCAGAAAGATTTCGGGGAAATAAGTCATTAGACACAATAGCGACGGGAATGATAATGGAATTTATACAAAGCAGCAGAAATGTCTGTAGAGGGTTGTAGAGACAAGCCATTTATTATGCCAGGGGGACAACAAAGGGGACGGGGACGATAGCAACAGAGACAGGATGAGGTAATCACAAGGCCCCCGTAGGGCCGTAATCTGGTTCATCCACGCCCCGGTGTGCAGTGCGGCTTCCCCTTCGAAAAATTCAGGCCCCCCAATGGCCGAAAGCTCCAATTCAATCCGAAGCTTGCCCAACATTGACCATCCAACACCTATTCGCCCATCCCGCGAGTCTGTCCTTCAAATTTCCTCCCTCCACCCATTTCTCCCCCTGATCAACCACCGCGTATTCCCTTCGGTTTAGCTACCATGCTCTCCAGTCGATTGATACCGCGCTCCGGGGCCAAATCGGCCTTCAGGAGACACGCTTCGTGAGCCCGAAGTCCACATTCTCGCGGCTTTGCCTCTTCTAGCTAACCGCTGTTGCGCGTAGTCTTCCCGCTGTTGTCACTCCCACCCAGCTGTCGAGATGGACTCGCGCCTACGCCTCGGCTTCTGAGGAGAAGGACCTTGTCGTTATCGGCGGTGGTGTTGCTGGTTATGTCGCTGCCATCAAGGCCGGTCAAGAGGGCTTGAAGGTTGCCTGCATCGAAAAGCGAGGCACGCTCGGCGGCACCTGCCTCAACGTTGGCTGCATTCCCTCTAAGGCCCTTCTCAACAACTCACACCTCTACCACACCATCAAGCATGACACCAAGAACCGCGGGATCGATGTTTCCGACGTCAAGGTAAACCTCGAGCAGTTCATGAAGGCCAAGGACACTGCTGTCGGTGGCCTGACCAAAGGTGTCGAGTTCCTCTTCAAGAAGAATGGTGTCGAATATATCAAGGGCGCCGGCACTTTCGTCAATGAGAACGAGATCAAGGTAGCTCTCAATGATGGTGGCGAGACCTCGGTCAAGGGAAAGAACATCCTGATTGCTACCGGTAGCGAGGCTACGCCCTTCCCCGGTCTTGAGATTGACGAGAAGCGTGTCGTTACCAGCACTGGTGCTCTGTCGCTTGACAAGATACCCGAGAGCCTTGTGGTCATTGGCGGCGGTATCATTGGCCTGGAGATGGCCTCTGTTTGGTCCCGACTGGGAACCAAGGTGACCGTTGTCGAATTCCTCGGCCAGATTGGCGGTCCTGGAATGGACGCCGAGATCGCTAAGAGCGCGCAGAAGATCCTCAAGAAGCAAGGCATCAACTTCAAGACGGGCACCAAGGTTATCAGCGGCGACAAGACTGGTGACAAGGTCAAGCTAGAGGTTGACGCTGCCAAGGGTGGCAAGCCTGAGACGGTAAGCATCAATACGGTATCCGCCAATTTGTTAATGGGAAGTTGTTGACCAGTTGAATAGCTTGATGCTGACGTCGTCTTGGTGGCTATCGGCCGCCGACCCTACACCGGCGGACTCGGCCTTGAGAACATCGACCTCGAGCTGGACGAGAGAGGCCGTGTCATCATCGACTCTGAATACCGCACTAAGATTCCCCACATCCGTTGTGTTGGCGACGTCACCTTCGGTCCAATGCTTGCGCACAAGGCCGAGGAGGAGGCTGTTGCTGTGGTCGAGTACATCAAGAAGGGTCATGGCCACGTCAACTACGGTGTGATCCCTTCTGTCATGTACACCCACCCCGAGGTTGCCTGGGTCGGTCAGAGCGAGCAGGATCTCAAGTCGCAGAACATCCCGTATCGGATTGGGACTTTCCCTTCAGCGCCAACTCGCGCGCGAAGACTAACCTCGACACTGAAGGCATGGTGAAGATGTTGGCGGATCCCGAAACGGATAGAATTCTGGGAGTCCATATCATCGGACCTAATGCTGGTGAGATGATTGCTGAGGCCACTCTCGCACTCGAGTATGGTGCATCGAGCGAGGATATCGCCCGTACATGCCACGCCCACCCAACCTTGGCCGAGGCCTTCAAGGAAGCTGCCATGGCTACCTACTCAAAGCCAATTCACATGTAAAGGAAGTGGCGAAGCATACTGAAGAGGAAGCGGATTGGGTTAGCGTGCTGGAAGGCATGGACAAACAATGCATGTACTTTGTATTACCATAGGGATAGCGGATAGACGTTTAGTAACGTGGTTTGTAGCATAAGCGTATATTTTTTACGCTAGCCTGATATGTTATAAACTAAGAGTAAAAAACAACTAGGTTTTAAAAGTTATCTGTTACTTTTATTTTTTAAGTAATATTATAGTTTATAAAATTATAGTAACTAATAGTTTTTTTATTTAATTACTTATAAGTACCTATTAATAATTAGAAGATATAAAAAAAAACCCTTATTATTAATATATAATTACTTTTATAGGTAACGTACATGCATAGCAAGTGGCCTATCATAGCAAGTGGCCTACCTCTACCTACCCTCTAGCCATTTATATAAGTCAATTAAGCAACATTATACAAAATCAATTAAAACTACTTATTATCCTCTTCTTCAAAGGTCTCTTATACTACTTAACATATTTATATATTATATCTAGTCTTTTTATAATTACTATATTACTAATTATGTATAAAAATTAAATAATAAAGCTATAAAAGCTATAGTTATAAACTCTAAAAGTAATATATATAAAGTATATAATTTTTAAAAAACCTCTTTTTTTAGACTAAAGATATTATTATTCTAGAAAATTAATTTTTACTTCTTAAAATACTAAATAATATTAGTAATAATAATAATAATAATAATCATAATAATAATAATAATAATAATAATAATAATAATAATAATAATAATAATAATAATAATAATAATAATAATAATAATAATAATAATAATAATAATAATAATAATAATAATAATAATAATAATAATAATAATAATAACGTATATACATAGTGAGTTACTTATCAGAGTGAGTCGTCTATGTTCTTATCGTAAATAAAAACCTTATTTTCTAACTATTTATTAAAAATCCATTTTAAGCTAAAAATATAATAGGATTTTTGTTTTAGTATTTAATAAGCGTTAAATTATAGGAAATAATACTTTAAGAATTTTACTTTTAACCTTATACCTAGATCTCTTATCATAAGAGCTAAATAAGCTAGTTTATGTAAGACACTATTATAAGTAGAGTAAAAATTTCTAAAATATTATTCCTTATAATCTAACTCCTATCGAACACTAGAGCAGAAAGTCTGTTGTATATTTAGGTTAAAATGGATTTTTAATAAATAGTTGTAAAATAGGGTTTTTATCTACGATAAGAACGTAGGCGACTCACTCTGATGGGCAACTCACTATGCATATACGTTAATAATAATAATAATAATAATAATAATAATAATAAAACTTCTTAAGCTAAATAAAAAGCTTAAAGATAAATATAACTAGGTAATAGACTAAGAAAGCGCTTTATATACTACAAAAGACTACCTTACTATTAAACCTATACTTTTTACTACAAATAACTATAATAATAAGAAATACTAGTTTAATAAGCTTCTTATATTTTATCTATAGTAAATACAAAAGACCTTTTTATATATAAATAAGCTATAACCTTTATAAATAAAGACTACTAGATTTAAGTAATATTAAAAGAAATATTAGGTTTATATAATTTAAATACTTAGAAAATATTACCTTTACTTAAAGATATTAAGCCTTTAAGAGGTAAATAAGTATATAAAATTAAATATAATAATAATAATAAACCTATTAAATATAAGGCTAAATAAGTAGTATAAGGTTATAACTAATATATAAGTATAGACTACTTAAAGACCTTTAGTACTATTTGTAAGCTAGAAAACTATAAAGCTATATTTATAATAGATATTAAACTAAGCTATATATTTAGGTAATTTAATATAATTAATACTTTTTGCTATACTAATATAAATAAAGATATATAGGTCTAATAACTTATACGATTTTTATATATAAATAATACTTATTGATATATAGATAATAAGTATAAAAATAGTAATTTATACTATAAGCTAAATAAAGCTTTATATAGTTTAAAATAAAGCCTTAGACTTTAGTATAAATATTTAAGATCTATTATAATAAAACTAAGCTTTAAAGAATCTTTTTATAATAAAAGAATCTTTATAGCTAATAATAATACTATAAAAGCTATAATAATATATTATATAAATAATATTATAATAATAGCTTTAAAAAAAGAATATATAAATATCTTCTATAATATAATAAACAAAAGATTATAAATAAAAGACTTAAAAGTACTATATACGTTTTTAAGGAATAAAATAACTAGAAATAATAAGAATAAGATCTTATATATATATTAAGTAAAATATATGAATGAATTTTTAAATAAATATAATAAAAGAAATGTATACTTTTATATTATAATTACCTTTAAACTTTAATATAAAACTAAAAAGAAATACAAAGTAAGTATTATTAAAAACATAATAAAATACTACTAAGAAGTAAAATCCGTACAATATAATAAGCTAAAATAATATAAAATAAAAAACTATTACTTTATTTATTTATAAAGCTAAATGTATAGCTTTATATAAAGCTATTAAGGAAATAATATATTTATATATTTTATATAGTTATATAATACTAAAATTAGATTTAAAATTAAATTTAAATATACTTATTATCCTTATAGATAATAAAGCTATATAATAAATAATAGAAAATCTAAAGTTATATGAGAAAATAAAGTATATTAATATAAAATATTATTTTTCTAGATAACGTAGTTCATAAACAAGTAAGTTACATAAGCGAGTAAGCTACTTCTTTTCGCTAGAAAAAGCTTAGTTTCTAACTATTTATTAAAAACTTAATTCTTATTTAAAAAAGGCTTAGCTAGAGACTTTATATAACAATAAGAGTTATAATTCAAAAAATAATACTATAGAAATTATTATATAACCTTAACCCTTATAACTGATAATAGGCTTTTATCTTAAGGGCTAGATAAGGGCTTTTCTATATTTATAAGGGTTAAGGTTATATAGTAATTTCTATAGTATTATTTTTTGAATTATAACTCTTATTGTTATATAAAGTCTCTAGCTAAGCCTTTTTTAAATAAGAATTAAGTTTTTAATAAATAGTTAGAAACTAAGCTTTTTCTAGCGAAAAGAAGTAGCTTACTCGCTTATGTAGCTTACTCGCTTATGAACTACGTTAAGCTATTAATAATAATAAGGTATTTTTATTTTATATATATATAAGTAATAATATTATTAATATATTTATTAAAGTAATAAATAAAAATACGTTTAATTACTTTATAAAGACTATAAACCTTAATATAAAAGGGTTTTTACCTATAAAAACCAAAAATAATAATAATAGCCTTATTATAAAGAAGGTTAAATAACTAAAATACTAAGGTTTCCCCTTTAATATTTTTTATATATAAATACTTTTTCCTTATAATATAAGGTTTTTTACTTATAACTATAACAGTATATATAACTATAATAAGATATATAAATATAACTATAGGTTTTTATATATATATAAAGGTTTTTACTATAAGATATAATAAACTATAAGTTTATTCTAAACTAGAATAAACTTGAAAGGAAAACTAAGAATAAGATTTATTATAAGAACTTTTATCTTATCTAATTATATCCTTATATCTAGTAACTATATAAACTTACTACATTTATATTTAAATTAAGTAAAATAGAAGCTTTATAACTGTATATAACTTACCTATATACAAGATATACTTATAACAATAAAGGCAATCTAGAAAAGACTAGCTAAGAATCAGGTTAACCCTAGAATTCTAGTCTTAAAGCTAATTAACCCTAGATTCCAAATAAGATATTTTTATTAAATAATCATATTACTAATAAGATATTTAAAAAAAAAGATATAAACCTAAGATATTCTTACCTTTTAGAAAGAAATAACTAGAATTGTATTTATTAATGTAATAACCTTATCTTTCTACCTTTACTCTCACTAAGTCTCTTTACTTCCCTGTAATTATCCAAGAATATCACTAGTATATTCTAAGTATAATATTATTTAAAATTTAATTGATTTATAGCTATTTTAACCTTTAAGGATTATAAAGTAATAGAAACCTTTTATATAAGACTTTATATATTAATTAAAGTATTTTAGCTAATTTAAGTAAATTTAATTTACTATTTATTTATTTTTACTTATATAGATATACTATATAGCTTAAAATTAACTATTGATATACTAAGAGAAAAGGTAACGTTTATCTTTTATAATAATATATAAAGGTAATATATATATATATATATATATAGTAAGTCGGCTATTATAGTAAGTTAGCTACTTCTCTTTACTTTTATACCTTCTCTTTTTATACTAAGTTCTTTTTATATATAACTATAGAATTCTCTTTTAAAAAAACCTATATTATATTTATACTTTAAGCACTTAGAATATACTGGTAATAATCTTAGATAGTTATAAGGAAGTAAAGAGACTTAGTAAGAGTAAAGGTAAAAAGATAAGGTTATTCATTCATAAATACAATTCTGGTTATTTCTTTCTAAAAGGTAAAATATCTTAGGTTTATATCTTTTCCTTTATATCTTAACGTATCTGTATAGCGAGTAGCCTATCATAGTAAGTGGCCTACTACCTTATTGTACCTTTAAGGGCACTATTTTAACTATTTTTTAAAACTCTAATTCTTCTATAAAATAGATATAACTCTGTATGTAGGTGTAAATAAGAGTTATAAAGTAATAAGAAATATATTAGAAATTATTGTTATACCTTAACCCTTAGAAACCTTATTGTTTACTTTAATAAGAAAGGTTAAGTAAAATAAAAGGTTAAGTAAAATAAAGGGTTAAGGTATAATAGTAATTTCTAGCGGATTTTTTATTAACATATAACTCTTATTAAAAGCCTTTTATAAGGTTATATTTATTTTAGATAAGAATTAGATTTTTAAAAAATAATGAAAAAAGTACCTTTAAAGGTATAATAGGGCAGTAGGCTACT